TCTATTTAAAAAAAAAAAAAAAAACTATTTACTACAAGTGTCAAACACCAGCCATGTTTTTTTTTCATTTTTGATGATTACCATTCTGTGTTTGCAAATAAAATACACTAAGCCTGCCATCATGATGGAAATATTTCATCAGCATAACCAAGGGAAAATAACTTGCTACCACCATGACTGTAGTTATTCCACTGACACTGCTTGTTGAAGAGGGCTCATACCTTTTATTTTTCAAAGTCTCAGACTTATGCTTCATCCTACTGCCAGCCATTACAACACCCCTGAGATTTCTTTTCTCTATGACATAATTCTGGCTGCCCTCCAGAGTTCTGAAATACCACCTCTAGCCCTGCAGTCTTATGCCCCACCCGCCCTGGATGCTGAACATGGCACTAACTCGACAAGCAGGTGTTATGAATCAGTGTGATGCCATCAGACTCAGCTAATTCTCTTCCCCCTCTCTGTCTGCACTGCTGACTGACGTGAGGGAGGTGTATATTGTCTTTGCCCAAGTCCAATGTGCCCCTCTCAGCTCTATTTTTACCATGGTAGAGCTGAGCTTTACAGGAGCCGGAGCTGTCAAGTGTTATCCTGACCGCCTGATCTTTCAGTCAGGTCTCCCCTGTGTGTTGTAAGGGCACTGCAGTTCACTGATGATGGTATAAGGTTTGAAGGTTGAAGCAGCAGAAGGACAAAGCTCTAAGCCCCAGGATAATTATATGTGTAATGGTGTTAAAACACAAACTGTTTGAACTCCCCCCCCCTTCCCCCCTGGATGGCACTACAGGTCACTGTACGCCAAAACAGCCAGACACAAGGGCATTTTCCTACCCCAGGCATCACTCTGATGAACACTTAACCCATGACTGTATAACAGAATGACAACCCTCATTGCAATACTACCATTGCTTACAGTGCCTTGCGAAAGTATTCGGCCCCCTTGAACTTTGCAACCTTTTGCCACATTTCAGGCTTCAAACATAAAGATATAAAACTGTAATTTTTTGTGAAGAATCAACAACAAGTGGGACACAATCATGAAGTGGAACGAAATTTATTGGATATTTCAAACTTTTTTAACAAATAAAAAACTGAAAAATTGGGCGTGCAAAATTATTCAACCCCCTTAAGTTAATACGTTGTAGCGCCACCTTTTGCTGCGATTACAGCTGTAAGTCACTTGGGGTATGTCTCTATCAGTTTTGCACATCGAGAGACTGAAATTTTTGCCCATGCCTCCTTGCAAAACAGCTCGAGCTCAGTGAGGTTGGATGGAGAGCGTTTGTGAACAGCAGTTGTCAGTTCTTTCCACAGATTCTCGATTGGATTCAGGTCTGGACTTTGACTTGGCCATTCTAACACCTGGATATGTTTATTTGTGAACCATTCCATTGTAGATTTGGCTTTATGTTTTGGATCATTGTCTTGTTGGAAGACAAATCTCCGCCCCAGTCTCAGGTCTTTTGCAGACTCCATCAAGTTTCCTTCCAGAATGGTCCTGTATTTGGCTCCATCCATCTTCCCATCAAGTTTAACCATCTTCCCTGTCCCTGCTGAAGAAAAGCAGGCCCAAACCATGATGCTGCCACCACCATGTTTGACAATGGGGATGGTGTGTTCAGGGTGATGAGCTGTGTTGCTTTTACGCCAAACATAACATTTTGCATTGTTGCCAAAAAGTTCGATGTTGGTTTCATCTGACCAGAGCACCTTCTTCCACATGTTTGGTGTGTCTCCCAGGTGGCTTGTGGCAAACTTTAAACGACACTTTTTATGGATATCTTTAAGAAATGGCTTTCTTCTTGCCACTCTTCCATAAAGGCCAGATTTGTGCAGTATACGACTGATTGTTGTCCTATGGACAGAGTCTCCCACCTCAGCTGTAGATCTCTGCAGTTCATCCAGAGTGATCATGGGCCTCTTGGCTGCATCTCTGATCAGTCTTCTCCTTGTATGAGCTGAAAGTTTAGAGGGACGGCCAGGTCTTGGTAGATTTGCAGTGGTCTGATACTCCTTCCATTTCAATATTATCGCTTGCACAGTGCTCCTTGGGATGTTTAAAGCTTGGGAAATCTTTTTGTATCCAAATCCGGCTTTAAACTTCTCCACAACAGTATCTCGGACCTGCCTGGTGTGTTCCTTGTTCTTCATGATGCTCTCTGCGCTTTAAACAGACCTCTGAGACTATCACAGTGCAGGTGCATTTATACGGAGACTTGATTACACACAGGTGGATTCTATTTATCATCATTAGTCATTTAGGTCAACATTGGATCATTCAGAGATCCTCACTGAACTTCTGGAGAGAGTTTGCTGCACTGAAAGTAAAGGGGCTGAATAATTTTGCACGCCCAATTATTCAGTTTTTTATTTGTTAAAAAAGTTTGAAATATCCAATAAATTTCGTTCCACTTCATGATTGTGTCCCACTTGTTGTTGATTCTTCACAAAAAATTACAGTTTTATATCTTTATGTTTGAAGCCTGAAATGTGGCAAAAGGTTGCAAAGTTCAAGGGGGCCGAATACTTTCGCAAAGCACTGTAAATTCGTTTTTATTGTTTGCATGTTCTTTTTCTTGTTCATGTGCACATTGAGAGCCACTGTACTGGAGTCAAATTTCTTGTGTGTTCAGCACACCTGGCCAATGAAACTGATTCTGATTCTGAAAAACTGGGATGCTGAAGGGCGCATAAGTCTAAATCACTGTCACATGAGACAATCTTTTCTAGCTTTGGATTCAAACTATTATTTCAAACTGAATTCTGCCTTTAATAATTTAAAAAAATGATGTCCCTTTTCCTAGGAGACAACCTGGATGCCGTCCATGACATTACAGTGGCTTACCCCAAGAACATCCCTCAGACAGAACGCCACCTCATTTTGGGGCTTTTTCCACGTGAGATCCACTTCCACGTCCGCCGCTATCCAGTGGCTTCACTGCCCGCCTCTTCCTCTGACCTTGAGTCTTGGTGTCGAGAGCGCTGGGCTGAGAAGGAAGTCCGTCTCCGTGACTTCTACTCAAGTCAGCCCCGAGCCTTTGACAGGGACGGTGTTGCACATGTGCCACCTTGTAAGTCAGAGCTGCGGGTGGCTCTGATCAAAGTTGCCTCTCTCCTGTACTGGAGCAGCTTCATTGCGTTTTGCTTTACTGGGCTGTGGCTGTGGGCGCCATTCAGGCTCTACTTCCTGGTGATTGTTGGAGTGTATATGGCCCAGCAGAAGTTGGTCGGAGGGCTGGAGCTGCTAGAATTGGCCTGCCATCGATACTGGAAATCTGTGGCTGTAGACATAGGTGACAAGAATAAGGTGTTGGATGAGAAGAAGCAGTGAGGCTGGAAGACAAGGGTGACTGGACAATGACATGTTTTCAGCTATGCTCAGCAAGGACACCATGGACTCAGTTAACGTGATCTGTTCAGTTCAAGGCACTAGAGGATCCCTTTGAGGGGCCTGGTGCGCCATACTATAGAAAGGGAATAATAAGTCAACTTCAAAGTGGTATGCATGGCTTCAGTGGAGAAACTTGCCTTTCTGTTGAAGAAGAAAAGAGGAATGTTGCATTTATCTGTGCTGGGTTCAAGGAATTCATCACAAGTTTATTAGCTTGCTGTCAGTGCATTTTATCTGTTATATAAGTGTGGACATGTGTCATGCTGTTTATATTTGTTATATTGTTATCATGTCTATGAAACAGCTTTTATTGTTTACTGTGTTGCCCTTCCTTTTATATCTGTCACAAATTATGGAGCAGAGCCATATTACAGACCACCTGTACACATATGACTTGACTCTAACATTCAAATAAGCACTGTAGTTAGCTGTATTAGACTGGTGGGACTAGTTAAACAAATCAGTTGAAATTAACAGTCTCTAGCAAGAAAAGAAAAGGACAGCTATAATTCCCAGAGAATTTTTAAGGTGTATACAGGTATATATGTGTACCGCTGTTTACCTTTGTTAGGTATAATTACCCTTTTATACAAATTTGGGAATAAACTTTTCCCAGTTAGTCCTTGGAGGTTTCTCATGAGATGATGTTTATTACTGTATAGGTCTTAAAACATAAATGATGTTACTCTGCTTGTTTGGTCAGGTTGCTTTTGCACATTAAAGCCAAAGGTGAGAAAAGCAGGTGGGGCGTAAAAAAGTAACCAAACAATATACTCTGTCTTGTCACAGAATGTTAGCTTAACTCAAAGTTGGCAAAGTCGTCTGTAGATGCGCCGAGGCAACAGCTCATTGGAATCAAAGATCTGACTTGAGATCTTATGTGTGGAGAAGTGTAGAAGAAAAAGCATTATGTCCTTTCTGAGAATGAGGAGACAGGATGTGGGTGGTACTGCAGTGAAAGAATGTCCTGTTGGGACAACATTACCCCTCGATGTGCTGGGTGGCACAGAGGACCAGACTTGGAGTGGAAAACTGGCCCTGAACTCAACCTAATCCAAAAAAGCTCTGTAATGCCTACCTCTGCTTGTGTCCCTCTAAAGGACTGGCAGTGATGAGCCTGCTAAACTCAATTAGCAAATGACAGCTGAGAAAGCTATGCCAATTGTGCCAAAAAAGGACAGAAATTGAAACAGGATTGGAGCGGCACTACACCCACTTTTTTATCCACCGACTCCTTACCAGGCTCAAAACCATTTCAAACCATGTTCAGTCTTGGGGTCAGGGAACATTTGTATCTTGGACAGTCTAGCAGTTTCTGTAACACTGTAATTTGTGATCAAGCAGACCAATGTCTCATGGTTGACCGCACAATGTAAAGGAGACTGAAGCATCTTTCTTGTTTGTATGAATCTGAAACTCCTGTAGTTAAAGCGCAATGCGGTTGTTTCCAGTCACTGTGATCAGCTGTGTTAATAATTTTATCATCAGCACGTTGTAGTCTGAACCAGGTATAATCTATGTCTATTACTCTTTTACTTTTGCTGTTTTGTGTTGCTCAGTTTACAATCACTTGCTGATGCTGGACCTCTTTAAAGTCACTGTCCTCAGGTAAACACAGTGGATACTGTTATGAGACTGTCTCTTAAAGGAAAAAATAAATATGCTATATCAACTCAATCAGGTTTCCGGCCATTGTTTTTCCAAGTTTTATGGACAGCTTAGGAAATGTTGACTGCTGACCTTTTAATGCTTGATCTTTTAGTAAATGCTTTTGATAGTCCTGTATGTCATTATATTTACCATATCTGCATGTTCCAGATACTATTTAGGATTTATGACTAGCTTTTATTTGACTCATGTAGAGCATCACTGCCATTGCATTGTGTCATGTTATCGCACTGACATTGTCAGTTGCTGCAAGGCAACTCAGCAGTCTTTTAATCTAGACTGTACAATAACAATCACTACACTGCAGTGAATGAGTCAACAAGACCTTGAATGCTCATGTTACACACACACACACACACACACACACACACTCAAATCTAGCATAGACAACCAAAAAGGTCAGGAGCTTTGAAGGTGAAGTGCAGTTACCATAGTAACTACTGTTGACTCTGTTGTCTCCTAGCAACAGGATGTAGAGTGATGTCAATGGAAAGCATGCTATTTTCTCCTGCTACCAGAATGATGTCACTCCTTTGTGTGTGTGAAGAGAGGGTGGTGGAAAGAGAGAAGTTCATTTCTGTATTCTATATCCCTGCTCTCCTGAGGGGAACGAGAAGGGCTGCGATGCTGACATCCTGTGAAATGAATAAAAGACAAAAGGCGAGGATAAACTAAAATAGCTGTCCAGGGATGATGACTCACAGGGCCAATTAAGGGTGCAATTATGCTCCCACTTCTTTGCCTGTTATTAAATTTACTCTCTTAGTAATACGATAGTTGGATGAATTTATAGGAGCTTGATGTTAAAATCTAGGAAATTCTAATGTCCCAGTCCTGCCCAAGAAAGCTGTGGAAGTGTCTTAAGGTAGTGGGAAAATAGCTTTTACAGTGAACACACACAGACATAAAGTCATGTCTATCCAATTGCATGCAGACTAATAGGATCAGCTAGGCAGTGTAATTACTGTATCCTTATCTTAGCCAGATGCCTTTTCAATAAAGGCAGCAGACAATCCCCAGTTTACTCAGGGACAAAGTCAAAGACTTCAATGAATTATAAAGCAGGCAGTGAGTTCTCTGAAGATGAAGTCTCTAGTCATGTCCGGCATTTAAATAGTACTAGGTACAATCATGAAGACGTCAGTCTTCTCTATCCATTAATGATTCAGTAATGGAAAACAAGTGATAGAGACAAAAACAGAAAAACAAGTTTGTTTTGTTCAGCAACCATAACGTGTATGGGCTAAGTTTAGTGCTGCATGCTGTGTGTAGGGTGACTCCAGGAATGATTGCAGAAAAGCAGACCTGCTGTTGATCCCACCACTGTGACAAAGACCCTCACAGACACACCAACAAAGAAGTCTTCCAACAGGATCAGAGCTATAAATAACCTTACAGCAGCACTGCAATATTAGTGGGTGGATTAGGAGAGAATCGTCACCAGCTATTTATAGACCTAATGCAGTCAAACCTCTTCAGTGGGGCGGATTCACGGTGAGTTCTGAATAGGTGGGATAAAATGGGACTTAAAGTGTGGATGTGGTGTTTTATTTTTGTCACAAATGTTGGCTTGTTCTGCCACATTCTTCTTAATAAGAATCGGTCTGTTTCGGCATTTATTGAATTGCAAACGATTCAGTGGTGTTGATGCATTTTCTCTGCTCGAGGGAAAAACATCACTGACATGTATTTCCACACTGCAGTGAAGCTCTACAGACCATGCCAAGCAGGCTAACATCAGACACGGGCAGGGGACTCAGCATCATGCTTCAAAGGAAAAACATCTTCTGAGATCATCCTGTTAATCAGTATTCTGCTGCCACCTAGAGATCCAAGGCTTTGGTTTTAGTCATGATTACTTGTGGCATTTTTATCCTGATCCCTTTATGGATATGAACATGGCACTCGGACAGTAGGTTTGCAAATCCATGTGCTTATTTCCAACTTTGTATTGAGCACCAGGCTTAAGCAGTACCTGGAAAACTAAATAAGTCTTGTTAAAAAAATATAATAAACTGTTTTAATAGAGAGGAAGGAAAAAATGTCACTGACAGTAGATGTTAATGACAATTACAACCATGTGTTCAAAAACGTGTTCTTATGCTCTTGATAAAACATGTTCTGAGCTTCAAATCAAGCACAAAAAATACGGAATAACTTGACCTAGCAACACTACATTTTTATTTTGAAATCACAAGAAAAAATATTGTTATAGCCATTCAGATAAATGTTTCTTCAAACCCCAAATCAAGGAGAAATACAATAACATAAACATATCAGCCAACAAAATAACATTCATTTAGAGTAAAGCAAATAAAAACTGGCTTATCAATAAAATGCTAATAGTGAACAACAAAATTACATATCTCTACTCTGTCATGGCCACTGCACTGACTTGGGGGCATTGTTTTTAATGACTTAAACTTGTAAGTCAAGTGTAAAGGTGATCACATACAATATCATTTTGGGAATGCCTGCAGGCATTCACATTCAGAAACAGCACAATGTTACATCAGGGCCATGATGCTGTGCTACACCCCAGTCCAAAAATAACATCAAATGTCATGAAAATTGAGATTTTTTTTTTTTTAAACTATCTGACATACTGTCATCTTCACAGAACATTGATGGTATAAAACAGAGTCTCTGGCCTATCAAAGACAAAGGTTTGATGTTAAAGACTCCATTAAAGCTTGTTTGGCTTTGTGTTATAAGAAAAAGTAGTCTTATAACTAAATGTGGTCTAAGCCAAAGTGTATAAAAAGAATCAAGCTGAAGCTTCACTGGAACATATTTTGGTTCACTGTGGTTTCCAACACAGAAAAAGACTGTTTGCTAACTGTTTGTGGTTTTAGTTGTGTCTTCAGCAGCTCTGTTAGCTTGTCCCACCACACTGCCACCCAGCTAATTTCAAATGCTTATAGGACCTGTCCTCTCATAATTCTGTCCTTAAGCAAACAGGCATTCAGAGAATGTCTCCGTCACCTCTCAGAGGCATTCTTCCTCCATCATACTGAAGCACATGGTTGGAGGGAACATTCTCCTGATATATCACCAACGTGACATAATGCTCCTCACAGGGCACACACATAGGCACAGAATCCATGGTAACAGATGTTGATTAGTAGACCTCAGTAAAATTATAGGATCAATTGTACGATTGTCTACTGTACAGGAGCTCACACGCTATAAACTGCAGGAAAGGGACACTTATACCACTTTGTGTACATTTCAAAAATGCCATGTCAAGCAAAATAACTGCACAACATGCGAACCAGACCTAAACAAAACTGCCACCATCAAACACAACAATGATTACCTAAATATGACATCAATCTGTGCGGTCCTTGTGGTATCATTTGGATGAGAAACACTACTTGAAACACTATTACATTCATTACACTACCAGCTAATAAAAGGAAACTGATGTATAATTAACTATTGTGGTCTTAATTGCATTCATTGCTCACCAGTGACAAATACATTGGAGCAAAGTTCACAAAACACAGAAGCTTAAGTCCTATGAAAGCAATATGTAGAGTGACACTGCTATTGGTTCATTTAACAGTTGTGTTGTATAGAGTGGGACTGTTGCTTTGCCCATGTCTTGATAATGAATATATACTGCTCAAAAAAAATAAATAGTTGAATGTGTTATTTTTGTGTTCCCTTTATTTTTTTGAGCAGTGTACTTAGCTGTACCATCTACTAAACTCAATAATAAAAAACTCCAAGTGGTGTATTTTCATGTAATCTATCTTACCTATTTTAATGCTTGCTTTTAATTACCATATTACCAAAGTGTGGAGCATGCCTTGTGCAACAGTGATGAAAATTCTGTGTAATTCTGTGTGACCTTGCATGTACACTTAACAATTCAAGTTACTCCCTGTCTTGGAGGGGGAGTATTTTAGGGAAGCCTATTTAGCAAGAATAGTTCCAGCATACTAATCTTCTAATCAGCAGAGGTCTAAAGTCATAAGCCAGAGACAGGTAAGGGGTGGGGGGGTAAAGCCAGAACTTCAATGACCACTAAGTCTGCAAGTGGTGGTGTGCAGCACAGAGGCAAGGGGGTAAAGGAGAGTGAGAGGAGGACACGGAAATGAGCCTTCCCACACAAGTTAATCCAAGATTAGGGGCTCATGAATTGTCTGAAGGGACGTGCTCTTCAAAGCCCTCACTCTCCCTAACCAGCGCCCTCTCCAGAATGACACGTCCTTCCTTGTACCGCTGACTGTCCTCAGTAGCAAACTCATAGATCCAACCCAGTTTGCTGTTGCAGTTCTTGCAGCTGACATCCCTCACCATATGCCTGCCAGTCAGCATCACTCTGTCTTGCACCTCGCTGTACTGCAGATTCACCACCTGGGGGATTGAGACACAAGCAATTGTTCATTCTGTTTGATTCCCAAATACATGATCTTCATGGCTTTCACTGTACCTTATTGAAGAGGAAAGCTCTGCCTGTGGCTCCTGTGAATCGGGTGGAGATAAGCTCAGACCGATTGGTCAGGATGGTGTCACAGTTGGCACAAGAGAAGAGGCGTGTTCCACCAATGTGGTCCAAGAAGATACGTCCCATTGTTAAACCTCTGGCAGAGACTGATCTCAAAGACTAAAATATGAGCAAACAGAACAGCAAACTATCTATTGTTGTGAAGTTAACCAAGACAAAATGAACAAAAACGGCATTTCGTCTGAAGTAAGAGGCACACAGTACAATACAATTTAACCATATCACTCAGCCCTGCAACATCTCTTTGTTAAATACCAACCCGGAGAAGCTCTTTATATTTGGGTTGAGACTGTTACTGGGGTGAATTTAACTTTTGAGACTGTGCTTAATGACATTGTTGGGCCAACAATCACGTGTTTCAGTCAGACAAGGTGCAGGCCAGCTTTTTAAAGTTGACAGTCTCAACAGAAAAACAAACATTATGAACTAAAATGAGTATTTACTGAATTGCATTGTGAGGTATAGGCTACTTGTTAACTCCCCTTATCATTATCATAGTAGCACTTAAGTACTTTTTGTTCCTGAATGGCTTGTCATGAATAATGTTGACTGTAGATGGCAGCTGAGCTTTGAATGGTGCTGAAAATAAAAGCAATTATAACGAATATTACAGAAAACCGTCTTTAAAAGACGAAAACATTTGCCTAACTGACGAACGGGGACATATTATTTGGTTTTCATTGTGGTTTTGAACATTATAGCAGGGTGTTGTCATACTGATTTATCAAGTCAAAAGAGGCTAGCGTTATGTTAGCCGTTCAGCTAACAGCGATAACGATAACAAGCTAACAACGAGACAACAACAAAACATATATCTCTGCTTAGTGCTAAATGAACGCTTCCTACCTTGTCAAATTTGTTTTAGCGGTACAAAATGTCTCCACCGGGGATATTGCCACTAATCTTTTCGATGTGATTTTGACACATCTGTTGTTTGGCTCGTCGTTGTCGCGTTTTTGTTGTTCTCTTTCAGCTGTTCCTGTGGTTTGGCTCGTTGTCGTCACTGCTTTGTTGTTCTCTTTCAGCTGTTCCTGTTACTGTGCTCCAAGCTAATATCAACATCCGGTCATGACGGCCCAGAGGTGCTGCCTCCACCAGGTGTCAGCAGAGCAGAGGGGAACCGTACACCAACGAGAATGGTTTCAAATACACTATGGGCTGTGAGTATGTTTGAATATTCAGCACAAACCCTGCACCAATGTGTTTTAATTTGACATTATCCATCGGCTGCATTAAGTGAAACAGTGATACGTGCAATAAGTAGAAATAGGGATCACAGATGTTCAAGTCCGTCTTACAGCAAGAATCAGGTTCCCATACTAGAATCAGAATCAGCTTTATTGGCCAGGTGTGTTGGACACATGAGGAATTCGACTCTGGTACAGCGGCTCTCAATACGTATGTACATGGCCTTATGTAAGGCAGCAGTGGGCAAGTAGCCAATATAAGGCTGAGAACAGAAGTAAAGAAGTAATGTACAATCAAGCAAAGGAATGTGCCTTAGGAGTAAAAATAATGTACTATATACACACAGTCTGGATTTGATGGATCAATATGTACAAGGTATGTATTCACAGGTATTGCACTGAGGGTTATTGTCCATTCATACTGTCATGGGTCAAATGTTCATCAGAGTGATGGCCTGGGGGGAGAAACTGTCCTTGTGCCTGGTTGTCTTGGCTACAGTGACCTGTAACGCCGTCCAGAGGGGAGGAGTTCAAACAGCTTGTGTCCTGGGTGTGAGGGGTCTGCAGTGATCCTTTCCGCCCACCTCCTGACCCGTGAGGTGTACAGGTCCTCCATGGAGGGCAGGCTCACACCAATGACCTTTTCTGCAGTCCTGACTATGATGATGATGGCTCAGAGAGGACTGCCATCAAGTGATGTGTAAAGAGAAAAAGAATGTGTAAACAAGAAATCAGAATCAGCTTTAGTGGCCAGGTGTGTTGGACATATGAGGAATTTGACTCTGGTACAGTGGCTCTCAATGTGTATGTACAATGCTTTTCTGTAAAGAAACGAGTTGACAAGCGAGTAAACAAGATAAGGCTGAGAGAACAAAAAAAAAGAAGCACAGACAAAAAAAGAAGTTCATAGATTAGGCTACGCCCTTATTCATATTCTATAATGCATACATTTGGTCTGTTATAAGATATAAGGATATTCTTTACACTTACAGGATAAATTGCAGGTGAAACAGCTGCATACTGACAAATTAATGCACAGATAGGAAGATGAGACATGACTAATACTTTGGGTGATTGTTATCCAGTTAAAGTGATAAGAGAAAGGTAGATTGAGAATAAAAGCAAGGGAGCAAATGGAATAGCAGGAAAAAAGGAATGATTGCATGTCTCCTTTCTAAATGTTTGACCTCTTGGGAACTTCTTATCTTCTTCATACCTTTTACGGGTACAGTATACAGTACTTTTACAGTTATTAAAAGCCTACAGTTATTCTATCTCTGAGGCTGAGAGACAACAGAGGAGGGCATTACACATATCCCTTAGCGTCTCAGTGTCTCACCACGTCATGACTACTAGATCTGCACTCCTGATTCTGGCAGCCCTTGTTGGATCCTGCGCTGAGTTTCCAGGTAAAAAATAAAAAATAAAAAAAACAGGTCATAATTATATTCACAGTTAGTTTGACAAATCTAATTCTGCAACCAGGGAACTTGAAATGAAAAGCCACTTTACTTCTTCAAGGGTTTCTTGTGGTCATGTTCACAGAGTTGGTTGATGTATGTTGCACCTAATGTAGCACTCGTGAGTGTTACACTGTTCAGTGCCTGATGCTTTACCTGTGCAGTACACAGTTTCAGCTATCTCAGGCATTTTGCCGATGATGTACACTAAATGAATAAGTAGCAGTTTATAATGTGCCTGTTAGATATAGCCTAAATGTCAACTGTGCACAAAGGACTTCGCACTGCAAATAGAAAACGAGTAAACAACACTGAAAGTTTATTAGAGTTTTTCATGAATCATTTCTAACTTCAACTCAATGTGTCTTCTGGGGGTTCATCTAGGTGCTAAGTTGTTTTTGTTTGTTTTTATGTCAGCTTTAGACACTGTCAACCCTGATATAGGAAAAAATGAAGTGGCAACAGAAAATTCAGAGATGGTACTGTCAATTATTACTCTTTGTTGTGTATTAAAATTGTATATGAATGAATAATATTCTATATATTTTAGATACAGTAACACTGAAAGTCTGAGAAATGGTATTGTTGTTACAGACAGAGAGATACATGTCAGTACTCTGTACACCAGTGCCTGCCCCGTTGTCCCCATCCTCCTCAGGTAAGCATTTTCTACCGCTATTTATTGATCACTTATAATTTCAGTGATTACTGTGACTGCGCATAAAGACTGGCCAAATTATCTAAAAATGATTGTCCGGTGTTGTATCATTGCTGACCATTTAATGCTCATGTTTCCTCTCCAACAGTTCATGCTCTCAGACCTGCTGATATCTCAGGTGTTTACACCTTGGGAATGCCTCTTTCAAACAGGTAATAGCCGACGTTATAATGCATAAATATACCTCAGTAGCACTTAAATCACCAGCATATGTAGTGTTTTCTAGATCTACTTTAAATTTGACGCTTTAAACCTTTTCTGATCCCAACTATGTCAAATAACATGCATGTTTTCATCATCAGGGATGAGGCATCCAGAGTGGTCAGCAGACTAGCTGGTAAGACCCTGTCACCCACTGTATTTTTCTCACCACTGAGTGATTTAATTGTGTCACGTATTAACACTTGTGAATGAGTAGCTTTAAGCTAAAACCAAACACTTTTTAGGGGATTTTTTTTAGACAACGTATTTGAAAGTATTCATAATTTTCTTGAGTTTAGTTCAAGGTCAGAGTAAAGGCCATGCTGCATTAAATGCCAGATGCAGAGCACACTTTGACAAATTAAATTTTGAGAATAATAATCTATTTTAGTGGAGTTTATCTCTAAGGCTAAGACATTGGGCCATACACATTGGTTGGTGACCATTTCAAATAAAAGTAAGCAAACCCTTAACTGCAGTTACCTTATATTTTTCACTATCTGATTGTGTTGTGTTGTAAGAAGGTTCGGGGTTCGAGCCCGGGCCGACCCTCTGCCTTTCTGTGCCAAGTCTGCATGTTCTCCCTGTGCCTGCGTGGGTTCTTTCTGTGTACTCCGGCTTCCTCCCACAGTCCAAACACATGCATCCTAGATTGACTAGTGACTCTAAATTGCCCGTAGGAGTGAGTGTGAGTGTGTGTGGTTGTTTGTGTCAGCCCTGGGATAGACTGGTGACCTGTCAAGGATGGACCCCACCTCTGACCCATGGTCAGCTGGGATTGGCTCAAGCCCCTGTGACCCTATTCAGGAATAAGCGGTATAGATAATGAATGGATTGTCTTGTAAGGAATTATGCCCACTGTAAATTCTCTACAGTTGTTTCTGTGTGTCTCAAACAGAGTTGTTGTCCATTTTTAATCCTGAACTGATCACTCAACACATGGATCAGACGTCATTGCATCCCAGGTAACTCACACATGCACATATACGGTTTCATACATAAATGCTAAACAAGGAGAATACAGTAAGTGTGTTTTATGTGAGTGTATATGTTGCAGGAGTTTGTTGGAGGAAGCTGAGGAACTGTCTTTGTCCCTTTCTCATAAGGTGCAGTATGCATTAACCATTTTATAACATTTTACAGTATGTACAGTATTTTAAACATTTAATTATTTCAGCAAGGAGAATTCTATTCTGAGTGAGGTTACCTGCTATATGATGGTTAAAAAGCTCAACTTGCTAAGTTTACAGTTCTGTTTTTGTACATATTACACATTATACTGTATAATTAATTAATGATAAATTAGTGAGCTTTAGATCTATCGTCTCCTGGCTGTAGCTTCATATTTAACTGAAAGAAAAAGAGGCATATGTAGCAAAATGTTTGTTCTTTTATCACCTTTAGCTAAATTTCATTTCAAGGCAGTGACACCAAATAACAAATTACAACAAACATCTAAACTGAAGCTGTGAAATGGTCCAGTGATACAATTGACTGTTTGTCTCTGCAGGAGGCAGACTGGAAGTTTGTGCTGCTGTTTGTGCCGACTGACTCCATGTGTGCCTGTTCACCACATGTAGGATTCATACTGTCATACAAAATCGTGTTATTGCTTCTCTTAACTTTATTAAAATATGCTGAGTGTTTCTTTGTGTTTCAGCTTGTTGTAGATGTTAAAGCTATTGTGCAGGAAGTGGAAGCAACTCTGCAGATATTGCAACAACGGGTATTGTAGTTTTTGTTGAATAGGATTTTGCTATGAGTAAATAAAATGAAAAAATTAATATTCTGGATGTATGTTTACAGTTGCATCGCACTTTAATTCATGTAGTAGTCTGGAGCACCTTTCATCAGCAGGACAAGTGAGTGTATTCAGCTTCTTTAATGTAGTAGTAATTAACTAGCAAAATAAACTAGAAAATTGACAGAAACATTGTATTTTTCATACATGTGAGTATCCTGTAAAGATCTGATCCAGCTAGCTGTAAAAAGCATTTTACAATGATGTGCTTCCATTTTATTTCATAGCAGCTGTGAGTGTATGAGAAATGAAAACATAAACCAGCGGCTACATAAAGCAGTGCTCTTGAAAACACTGCAGGTAAAGAACACATACTTTAAATAAATGGTAATTTTGTGCTTTTAGCTCATCTGAACTATATTTATCTACATGTCTGACAAATTTTATTTGTTTTTGTATTCAGGATTCTCTAAATCAGGTCTTGGAAAATCCAGTGTGGCATAGCAAAAGTGCACTCTTCACTGCCGTGCTGCAGCCTGTTCCAGTTATCCTTGAACCCAACTCAGATTCTGTAAGTAGAGAAAGCTGTTTTCATATACTAGATATAATCAACAATACTGTAACTAACAACTATAAGATATACAATCCCCATTCCAGTAACAGTAGCATAAAACATCCTTGATTTTTTCATTTGTTTTTGAAGGGTACCACATTGCCTGACTTAAACCAAATAGCTCTTCAGCTATGGATGAACCTGGTAGGTTCTAATATGTTTTATATGAAAATGCAACATGCTGAACCTCATCATTGCTGTTCTGTGTGCATATCCTGCCCTGAATTAACCCTGTGTCTAAGTTGTGAAATGGAAAGCATTATCATGATCACTCGAAGCAAAAGATGGAACAGTGATTAGTGTTGTTCTGATAAGATATTGGATAAGAAAAGTAAAGATTAACTTTACAAAATTATCTACAGGATGATTTTTTTCCAGTTTTGTTCATTTTATATCTACATGCTCATATAACAATTATGTAATAAGTACTATCACACACCATAAGGTCATTAACTGCACAGAATAATCCTGCCTGAGTCCAAAATCTTAAGCAATGATAACTTTTCCTCCCCCAGCTTCAACCAGTGACAGGTGAGGCAGAGGTCATGGACAACAATGACATCACTATTCCTTGCCCTACCCAGGTGAGGCATGGCATCATATAATGAAGTTTATTCAAAAGTCATACCTGGTGCACTGAGTTTGACATACATACAAACGCACAAAGCGTGCACGACATCCATGATTCAGTCCTTTGCAACCAACCCCATCCCTTCTTCCCAATTTTTTGTCCACTTCTCTGCAAACTACTCCTGAAATAAAGGCAAAAATGCTAAAAAAAAGTCATCTCTTATTGTGGTAGTACCATGTGTGGTATTTGAGCCTTTATGCAAAAGTCTTGCAGCAGCACTCAGTGTTTAATCCCCAAATTTCCAAATCACAGAACAGACTTTCATCACAGTAAGATGTATTTATAATCTGATGCTGATACTATGGTTAAAATTGTGACTCACTTTTATTCCACTATCATCCCAGGAACGACCTTTCCTGCAGACAAAGATAAATTCCCCCACTCACAGAAAAGAGCCAGGTTATAGCAAAGCCTCTACACTAACTGATCCTGTAAGTCCTTCTACTCAGCTTCAAAGCTAGACAGTAGTATGACCACACATACAGCTAATTTAGTGGAGGACTGTTTGCTTACAGGTTATGGGAACTGAAATACCCTGCACAGACCATAGTCCATCCCCTACCATACCCACTTCAGGTAAAATTATTTTCAGCTCTCATTCTGCTGATATATTTTGAGAAATGGATTTTAAACCACCTTATTCTTATTCCTGTATAGTTCATGAACTCAGACCTGGAGATATCAAGGTGGTGGCAGCATTGGGTGACTCTGTGACAGTGAGTGTTTATCTTTTCCTGCTTTTTCTTTAGTGTAGACAAATTTATAACAAAACCTATTTTGAAAAATTGAACTTGAGTGTTCCCAGTACACATAGAGAGGCGTGATATACGATACAGTATATGATGATCAGGACAACAGATGTAAACACTTAAAGCTGCTGTTTATCTATTGTATACTGTATATGTGCAGATGTAAACAAGCAAACATAACAACAAAACTAAAGTAAAGTGAAAGTTTGTTTAATTTAGAAATGGTGATAAAATTTCAACTTTAATACTAAGAAATGATTTACAGATATTTGCACTGTGACTTGCAACTCCCACAAGAGCTCTATACAGTTTTGGTTCAATAAATATTTTCTCTGGTTTAACATGGTCTTAGTACAGTATGTCACAACTGATGGTCTCTGCAGGCAGGCAATGGTGTGGGTGCAAAGACAGACAACCTACTGTTAGTAATTAAAGAGTACAGGGGACTGTCATGGAGGTAAGCTAAAGTACACATTTGTTCTTCTTTGATGGTGTGGAAAAAAGAGTTCATTTGGTAGCTGCATTTAAAACTAACAAGCTATATCTGCCATTTTCAGCATTGGTGGTGATGAAAACATTACCACTGTGACCACTCTGCCAAGTATGTTTGTCTCTTTCTCTCTCTCTCCTTTCAAATATAATCCTTGTTATTGATTTTAGTTCTGCTTTAAACACTATGCAGCCCCATCTGCTGCTTAAAAAAAATTCAGTCAGCTAGGTGTAAATCCCTTCATTATCAGATGGTATTTTTCCTTTTTTAATCACTCGCACACAGATGGCAAGGGTTAAATATACCCTGTCTGGTGCAAAAAACAATGAGTACAGGCGCTCCTCAGGGATGTGCAATCTCACGTTTACTGTTTACGCTGTGTGCAAACAACTCTGTAAGCACACACTGTAATATCTATATCTTCAAGTTTTGTGATGACACCGCAATCCTGTGCAAGTTTCATGAGGGGGAGGACAGCTGATTTTATCATCAAGAAATAGGAAAATTGGCAGCCAGCCTGGTAATGAACGTCAAAAAAATAAAACCCCAGAAGAAATTGTGTTCGACCCCAGAAGAGTGCGTGACCACAATCAAATAGTTATTGACACCACTTATATCAAGCAGGTTACAATCTACTTGGCAGTGATAATACAGTAAATAACAAACTGTCCTGGCACAATCATGCTGACAGCCTTTGCACTAGGCTTCTGCAGAAGATTCTTGTTTGTTGGTGTAGACAAGAAAATAATGCTGCTATTTTATCAGGTGGTCATGGAAAGTCTAATTAGGTATGGGATTCAAGTTTGGTTTGGCAATTCAACAGTACAGTTAAAAAAAAAACTGATTGGTTCGTACGGTGCAAACCTCTTTTAACATTATTGGTGAAATCAACTACAAAGTTAGACTCCAGACCATCTATGAAACTTTCCTGCTTAAAAAGCACAAAAAATACTGTCAGAGCCAACCCACATCCTACATCTTGAGTACAAGCTGTTACCCTCAGGTTGATGATATAGACTCCCATAATACAGACACAATCATTATAAATACTCCTTGGTGCCAGCCTCTATCAGGGCATTGAACAGTAGCACTGACTGAAGAAGAAAATTAAATTAATGTTTAAACTGAAATCTGTTGGTTTTATTTTTGTTGATTGAATTGTGTCATTTATACTGATCATATCCTTGTTTTGTGCTGATTTTAACTTTGTCATGATTTTATTTTTAAGTTTGTTTCCTTGACACTCTTATTTCATGATTGTTTTAGATTATCTCCATTCAGGATTTTAATCTATTATGGGTATTATAGTTTAATCAACAAGTTGTTTTTGGCTAGCTCTATAGAGTTATATAATGATGTGTAGCTTGCCAGTGTGGACCCAAAACAAATGTCCCTGCTATGGGCCAATAAAGTTTTATCTAATCTTATCTAACCTAATCTAATCTAATAACATTGCCTAAATTATCTGTCATATATTGCATGTTTGAAGTGCATTTTATCAAATATCACATCTTATCACCATGATTATACCAGCTGTTTGTTAGACTGGCTGTCATAACTAAATGCTAGCTCTTCGAAACACATTACAACTGAAGAAATGTCATAAAAACAATCAGGACTCAAGATCCACGAACTGAGGTGAAGTCCATTCCCCCTGAAGTGAAGTTGTTTTCTCTGTAGATACAGTATGTGTAATCTTCACCACAACCCATGTTTTATGATGCTAAACTTCCCCCAACCATATCCTAACACCTAGCCAGTTAGCTCTGCCTACTCTCAAATCTTAGGATCTAACATTTAATGATTATGGTCTGTAGACATCCTGAGGCAGTTTAACCCCTCCCTGACTGGCTTCTCAGAGGGAATAGGTGGGAAAGACAGTCCGAAGGCCTTTCTCAACCAGGCTGTGCCAGGGGCAAAGAGTGGGTCAGTCATGTTCATTACTTACTTTCATTATATTACCACCCTTCACTCTGACTTACCTTTTTAAACCAAATTTTCATTGAAAGCTCTGAACAATTTACAGCTCACCAGAACAATGCAGTGGTACTTCTAGAAACTTTAATCGCAAAACTTATATTTTCAGTGACATGGTGCAACAGGTGCGCATCCTCATGGACAAAATGAAAAATGATTCAGTAAGGCAGCAATAAACTACAGTAGATATGCAACCTTTGTCTCAGTTTTATGTTCACACTTACCGAATTTACAGAACATTTACCTCTTATCTTCTTTACAGCGAATTGATTTCCACAATGACTGGAAAGTGATCACCATGTTTATCGGAGGCAATGACATATGTGACTTCTGCATAGACAGTGTGAGCACTCGTTTTTTATAAAGATATTTCATATTTTGTAGTTTCTTGGCATAATGCTTTTCATATTCTAAGCAGTATCTTCGTTATTGGTTCATCAAGAGATTATTTTCTCAATTTAGTAATTAATTTATTTCAGTAATATAATGAAAATGGTGATAAATATCCATTCCTAAAGCCAAAAGTCACATACTCAAAGGGCTTGCTCTGCCTTATAATCAGCTCACACAGCAACAAGCAAACATAAAAGACTAAGAAAACCAAGAAATCCTAACATCTGTGAAGCTGGAACCAGCTTGTTGTTTTTGCTTGAAAAAAAAAAATCATTCATTGATGCAAATGATTAATTAATTATCAAAATCGTTGCTGACTGGGTTTCTTTCAATCCGCTAATCAGTTAACTGACTTGTTTGAGTTTTAATTTGTTCCACATGCACAGGCTCTGTTCTATGCTTTCGGTCTCAATGAGAAACATTTTTCCACAGGCTATTCACTCGCCGAGTAATGTGATCAATCGTGTCCGCCAAGCTCTGGACATACTCCACAGGGAAGTATGTTTGCACTTTCTTGCACCTCACTAACACAAACATGCAACTTCATTGTGTGTTAGCAATTTTAAAGTCCAAATTCCCTGCTATAAGCATTGTTTTATATCACCCAGGTCCCTCGTGCCATTGTCAATCTGGTGGAGGTGTTTAACACTGTACTGCTGCGTGATCTGCACAGAGACAAGACTCTGGGCTGTCCCACCTGGCTCGTCCAGTCAGTGATCTCTGTAGCACAAAACTGTTAAAAAACAACCAAAAAACTGATCAAGTCATGATTTAATCAGTTTTGGTGTTTATGTTTCAGATTATTTTGCTCCTGCATAGTGAAGCCTAAAGATGGATCCTATGAACTTCAGAAGCTCAATGAGTTCAATAGAGGTTATCAGGTACAAAACAAAAAAATGTTTTTGGTCCATTTTCATGTGCAATACAAATTCACTGGTGATTTACAGGCATACACTTACATGTAAATAGACTATTATAAGTTTGGTTTCTTACTAATTAATTGTCACTGAAAAGTCAAAGGCTCCTCATATTTTGACTGGCTTTCCATCCAGCGTGCTATGCAAGAGCTGATTGACTCTGGACGGTACGACACGCACAACAACTTCACTGTGGTACTGCAGCCGTTCTTCAGAGATGTTGTCCTTCCCCTGTTGGAGGTACAAGCTCACATGCTGTACCTGAAACATTCAATATTCCTAATGCTGTTTTCATTTTTGAAATTTATTTCAGTATTTTAAAATGTCTTTTTTCCCTTTCTTTCTGTATAAAAGGATGGCCGGCCTGATCGCTCTTACTTCACACCTGACTGTGCTCATCTTAGCCAGAAAGCTCACACTGCCATGGCTCGTGCTCTGTGGAACAACATGGTAGTATTTGCTCTTTTAAAGGACATTTTCCTCATTTGTATTTTGAAACATGTTTTTATTTCCCTTATAAAGATCCAGAATAATTCATAGACTTTTACAAATCTCTTAGTTAGAGCCGGTGGGCAGCAAGACTTTTACACTAAGCCTCACAACTGCCACTGATCTGAAGTGTCCCTCTAAGGTAACTTTGCAGTCAACAGCATTCAGTCCAACACTTTGTCTCACACTTGATATTATATGTATAGATTCAATACATTTTTGTCTATTCATGTTTTTTTTAGACCAACCCATTCTTCAGGACTGCTATTAACAGCAACTACACCTTTCCAGGCCCTCCACCCACTCCTGCTCCTGTTACAGTAGGTCAAAGTTTCTGTCTTTCATAGACAGCACAACTTTAGAATAGCCAGTATTTATGCATGATACTGACTAATATATTATAACATGTGTAAAACGTGTCTCTACTACTCATTAGCACTGGGGCAGTGACTTCTCCTGTGTTAACACAGCTCCATCAAACTCTGTGCCTACTTCAGGTAACCATTCAAAGTGTGACTCGGGTATTACCCCACGTGATATACAAGGGTTAGAAGTAAAATATAGTCATGCTGATCTTTTGTTAGCTCACAGGGTACGACCAGCAGACATCAACGTGGTGGCTGCTCTCGGAGACTCTATAACGGTATGTTTGTACACAATTTCCTCTAAATTGTTCATTCATCCAGCCACGATCTATACCACCATGTATCCTACTGAATAATATAACCATCAATTCCAACATGTAGGCTGCCTTTGGTGCCAAAGCAAAGAATCTGTTGCAGCTACCTACTGAGTACAGAGGAGTGTCATGGAGGTGAGAGAGTGCACACAAATTATATTAAATAAATTCATGTTTGTGGCATTGTGGATAATTCATTCATTGTTTGTCCTTCACTAATAAGCATTGGAGGAGACAAAACTCTTGAGACTGTCACAACATTACCCAGTAAGTTAAAAGCCTTATCCATCCCATAGCTTTTGTGAAGTGTAATACACATTGACATCACTAGATGGCAAAGTTGGACTATAAAAAGTTTGTATTTTGGTTGCTTTTGAAAAATAGCCCTTTTTGTGTATCAGATATTCTTAAGAAGTTCAACCCTAACATCAAAGGAGTGTCAAAGGGAGTAGGGAAAAAACAGGCTGGCTTCAACATGGCTGTATCAGGGGCTAAAATAGCGTGAGTTCTAGCATTTCTTTCATATGTTATCAGGTTTGAATGGTTCCCTTTCAGATATGTCTTGCTAAGCATGTTGTGCACCCATGAATATCTCTGATTTTATACAGAGGAATTCCAGAGCAGGTCCGTCGCCTGATTGATGCCTTAAAAAAAGACCCTGTGAGTCTCAAATATGAATACATGCACTGATGTGATTTCAGGACCACAAATTATGTAATAGTAATGTGCATGATAAAAAGCAATGTTCCATCTTTCCATCATTGTCTGTGTGATTCCTTCCCCATCCTTCTAATGGATATAGACAGTGGATTTTCAGAATGAATGGAAGCTGGTGACCCTCTTCATTGGAGGCAATGACCTGTGCCAGTACTGCTATGACCGCGTGAGTTGCTTAAAGAAATCGACACATGAAATGCAGGATAATCCCATGAATAAAGGATACTTTCAAAGGCCTGCCCTTAATAAATCTCCTGCTATAGCACAGTGGTTAAACATGCTGCCGTGTTGTGTGACGTCTCATGGTAAGCACTGGAGCAGAAGAATCAAGCTTTGTGAGCAGCCCTCCCTAATTGTTTTATTGTGTCAGAGTGAGATGAGAGCAGACATGGTTTCTTTTCAATAAGCACATTCTGTCACTTTACCCCTCCAATACAAAACACCCCCTCCCTTCTCTATCTCGGCCTCTGCATTAAACGAGCATGCAGGGCACAGTGACATGCCTTGTTCTCTAAAGGGCATAAACACCACAGAAATCAAACCCAGACATTTCATCCGGTCTGTGTCTTGCTTTTTCTCCTTCCTTATTTTGCCTCTGTCTCCCCTGTTTTTTTCCATGTCCCACTCTATTACACTCAAGGTAGTTTCTCTTATAATGTTTGTACTTTGAAGCAGAATATCAAAGCAGAGCATCAATTTAAGATGAGCTCTGAGACGGTGGTAATGACAGCTGATGGTTAGTTGCTACTTTTATGCTCATATATGCTGCATGTGTGTACTCTTTGGGGTGATATGCGCTTTTTAGATACAAACTTGGCCAGTTTCCATTAAATGTGCCTTAATTATCTAGCTCAGAAGAGAACACTTGTTAATGAAAAAAATATTGGTCTTATGTGTACACATGTTTACTATTTGTTAAATGACCTTATACATTGTGTGTCGCAAAACCGCAGCTCTCTTTATCACCTGGGAATTACAGCCATCATATGATGACAAGCTTGGACATGTTGTATGAAGAGGTAAAGAGATTTTATGGACTAAAACATGACAATTATACAATAAAGATATAGCTGAAAATTATGAAAATAAGATATCCTGTACTAAAAATGTGTATGTTCCTCCTTTACTTGCCTTCCTTCAAATTATCATTGCGCCCTAAAAACTATTCTAAAGGTCCAGTTTTTATTTTTGTTGTTGACCTTATTTCCTATTTCCTCTCCTATTGTAAATGCAAATTGAGATGCTCTGTATTGAAGACAAATTCCTTGTGTGTTTTAAACATATTTGGCCAATAAATGTGATTCTGATTTTGATGTAGGTTCCCAGGGTGATAGTCAACATTGTGGAAATCCTGGAAATTGAAGGCCTACGCAGGATCAAAAGGGACAGTCTTTTTTGCAGTGTGTTCCAAAAGTATGTTCACCATCCACCTTCCAAGCAAACAGTCCAGCAAACATTATAATTTGGTATTTAATAAAGACAAACTCATTCACACATATTGTAGCTTGCATTATATAGCAAGCAGTGATGATTGAACATTTTTAAAATCATTTTATTTTTAAATCGGCTATTTCTTTTCACCCTTCTGCCTCAGGCATGTCTGCCCATGCTTTTTGTTACCTGAAAATGATTCCCCTGAGCTGGCTGAAGTAAAATGGATAAATCAGGAACTACAGGTTAGCAGACAGGAATAGTAAGACCAAGATTTGTGCTTGCAAACAGGCATTAATTAGATGTTACAATAGCTGTGGTAACCTGAACATTTTTGGTATTTCTTTCAGACTGAAACTGAACGTTTGGTTTACAGAGGCCGCTATGATGGCAGAGAGGACTTTGCTGTGGTTGTGCAGCCCTTTTTTAAAAACTCCATTCTTCCTTTGAACGCTGTAAGTTATTTGTCTCCACCCATCAACAAACCCAATTAGGATAGTAACAAGCCTGTACCGCACTGATGCTGTACTATTTCTTCTGCAGGAAGGAAGGCCTGACACCACCTACTTCACTGAGGACTGTTTTCACTTCACTGAACGAGGACATGCTGACATGGCTACAGCTCTGTGGAATAATATGGTGGGCTCTGCAAGGCAGACAGAGAAAGGCTGAGTTTGACAGGGGAAGAGTTTTGGATGATGTCTTTTTAAAGTACTGCATCCCAATGCAGTGTGGCCATGAACCTAATGAAGATGTATTTCTGTCTTATAGCTGGAGCCAGTGGGAAAAAAGCAGACATACAACAATTTCACAAATGCTAGAAATAACATAAAGTGTCCCACTGAGGTAAGAAAGCTGCCACACAAGCACTTCTCACATGCTGACCTGATTGTGATTTATTTGCACAATGTCTGCATAATTACCGACCATGGAAGTGAATTTGTCTTAGTTTAAGGCCTTCCTAATTTTGTTTTCCAGGAGCATCCATACATCTTCACAAAAGTGAACAGCTTGCCCAGTTCAACCACCCCAGTACCCACAACACATAACACAGGCCTGCCTCTCTCCTCTGACTGCTCAGCCAATGTGCCAATATGGCTCGCTGCTGTGCTGGCTGTTATTGGGCTTCTGATTGGCTGGGCTGTCACCTGGCTCCTCCTGTCCTGCAGAGCCAGGAGAAGCAAGAGAAGAATGATGGTTGCAGAGGAGATGAAGGGCACAGTGTTTTGAAGTTCTACTTGCTGTATTTTTGCACTGGACTATTCAAGAAAAAACAATCAGAACCACAGCCAACATTTAAAGTGATTGTAGAAACACACTCTTTGTGGTGAGGCAGTTTTTCATGCTAACATAACCCTGTCTGCTATGTTTAGAGAGGTTCTCCTTGGATGCAGAAACCACAGAAAACATTAGTGGATGCACTTTTTAGGAAAGCAATACATAAACAACTGAATGATAATCGATTATAAGTCTTCAATTCAAATCTTACTAAAGTGAAATCATATAAATAATTTAGTAAGGTATGTTAGCATATTTACTACTCATTGTGAAGACCGGTTTCTTTCACAATTCATATCACTCATGCATTAATCTATGAAACACATTTAAGTGTTGTAGCTGGTCTATCAACTGAACCAGTACAAACAGTTTTATGTGCAAAATTAAAGACTGGCATTGCTAACTGCACATTAATATATACTGTTGGTATATATTTAAATTTACCAAAATGTAGATGTCAATAAATGTGGAGTAACATACATAATATTTGCTTCAATTGTAATTTTTTAAGAACTTGGATTAACAGTTGATAACACAATTGAATGTGCCAACATATCATCTGTTCTGGTGCAGAAATACATTTGGATAATACTTTTATTGTTTCGCTGAAACTGTGCATTTTTTTAGATTAATTTCAAAATAGCAACTTGTGTGCTGGATGGAATTTTCAGTAGAAAATGTTCAACCTGAAGTAAAGCCATAAATAAAGTCTTTTTTTCGAGTGTGTCGTTACGGTTCCCGTTTTCTTCACAACAGCGCCTCCTGGTGTCTGTAGGGCGAATGTAATCGGGCAGCACTGTGTAACATCAGTTTGAAGATGGCGGAGGGTGAATTGAACGTGGACAGTCTTATCTCTCGGCTGCTGGAAGGTGAACAATTTTAATACAGTTTGTACAGTTAAACTGGCTGGGTGTGTGTTTTCATTAAACCTGGTCTCAGATTTATTCTGTAACTACCGCGGTTACTTCAGAAAACACAGGAAAGTGTTAGTTAGTTGGGCTAACGTCTGCCAATGGAAATGGTGTATACCCGGCTAGCTGTGGCTAATGTTACCGTTAGCTGCTAGCTGGCCGTGTTTATAAACACAGCAGTGAACGCCTACATTTCTCAGTTTTCGCAGCAGTAGCTAAGATACGTTACCCTTGACAGCTAATTTGATCGTGTCATAATCTTTAGTCTGCCTGTAATTAAACTTTCCTCCTTATATTTTGGCTGCATTCTCGTTCATTTATTCGCCAAATTATGAACGGCTGGTATGTGTCGGGAAGGAGGGGCTGGGACGTTTGTCCTGTGCGTAACACCATTAAAATATAGTAACATTAAATAAAACTTGGAATCATTTGTGCGGGCACCAACAGCTGTAGAAATCACGTAGCCTAAGTAAATTTTATGACATTAATACTGATTTTCAGCAACACCTCTGCCCTTGACACAGTTAATTTGTGTTCCATATCCGTGGTGCTGATAGTTGCCGTTAATGGTTAATGCCAATTTGAAAGGACGATCATTTGAAATCTAACTCAGCTGTAGAAATAGGCATTCATTCAAGGTTAAGACACTATGGGTTAGTTGGTGTCTTTTACTGGGCACGTTGCTGTGATTTAGTGCACTCATACACACAGAGCCCACGGTGCACACGCTTTAATTTCATGTTGGTATAGGTGAATAGGAAAGGGCACTGCAAAATAAGATTAGGTGCAAGAAATACTTTGTGTTTCTCTAAATCTGTCCACAAAGTATGTCATTAAAGTATGTCATTTTTTTGTTGCTGTGTTCACAGTCACATTATTGCTCCTGTTCTTGGCAAATAAAGGTAATTTTCTTGGTGTGTGGAGACCACATTTTTAGTTTGCCAGAGACAGGGGTGTGGAAAAATCCTTTTATCTTGGCCATTCACCTGCTTTAGAGATGGTGAGCAGTTTCCTTCTCCCTTGTGAAATATCCTTTCAGTCAGACTGGACCTCTAAGACAATTTCAGTTGTCCTTGGCATACTTTCCACCACCATCTGAATTTGAGGAATGAGACATTATCCCTGTTTTGAAATGCGAAGATTTGTTATTTTTAGTATCACTGCGAAATTCTGTCACACTGCAACTGCCTCGTGTTTCTTGCAGTTTCATTTTAAATAAAATGAATATTGCTACAAATGTAGATAAACAGGAAAAATTAAATATCAATTCTTCACCGTGTGAAATCAACTTCTCGCCCTTGTTCAGCTCTCAATTGTAAAAACAAAATCACCTTTGTAAAGCAACACCGTTGTGGTCATCAGTCATTTGTTGATTTGTGGTAATTGGTATTTGACAGCCAGTGACTGTGACTTGTGGCTGGTCATTTTTCTCAGCTAGAAAGCTCGTCGATCCTCCACACACTGTGTTTCTCTTGGCACTCAGATCAGACTGCAGTTATTTGTTGATTGTGTTGCTCATCTTTTTAACAGAAGTTGCATTTATGGTCAGTTTTGTTGTGATCTTGTTGGCGAGGGTGTCTGTTTTTGTTTTGTTTTTTTCCACAAGAATAAAGTGATTACACATGACTAATTTTGATAATATTGTTTTTCATGTATCTTGCATAATTTGCATTTGTACTTTGTAAAAAATATCTCATTGTTCACTTCTAAACATTCGTCTTGGTGTCTCACTATGTTCTGGTGAGATACTCACTCGTGTTATGAGAGAACAGGGGTTACGTGGATAAGTGACCTCAATTTAGATACTTAAGGTGAAGATGGGTGTGGTTAACAAAAGTGATTCCGATTCATTGATTTGAACGCTCCCTTCCCCTGATTGGAAAATTGGGAGTAACTGATGGTGTATATAAGTGGAATGAGATTGTTTTCTGACATACCTGATGAAGGTCATCCAGACTGAAACATTGTGGAATTAATAAACTATTCAGCCAAAGTGAGGCAGTGTGTCGGAGCTTTTTACACGAAGCTGTTCTCTCTGACACACCTGTCATGCAATCAGGAATGTTGAGTTTCTGTTAGTTTAAATAATAGTTTGTAAAATCTTCAGCATCACAACATCACATAAGAGCTTACTGTATATTTTTTTGTCTCAGAAAATTCAGTCTTGAGGAAAAGCCAAGTGTCAGTGCATGTTCTACTTTGTCCAGACACGTGCACAGTCACATAGTTTTTCACATACAGACAGTGATTTGGTTTATGACAGTGGAAAATCCTTGTTATTGCCTTGTTGTAGCCTTTGCCTCTTAATGTTCTTAAGCACATAATCCCTTCTAGAAGTGCAGGCTTGCACAAATGTGAACAGTGAAGGTTTATTATTAAACCCGAGCAGGCTAAGCACCAAAGTTTAACTCATTAAATTCACACCATGCTCAGTACAAGGGTTAGTCCATTTTTGTGTAGTTGTCGTCTTTCAGAGACTGCACTAACCACTCTGTCCAAATCAGGGAAAAAGTACAAATATCAGCTATTTCAGATATTGATTTCTCAAACTATGTGAAACTTAACTCATAAATTCTGGCCTTTGAGTAAGGAAGCATTCTTATATATAAAATCTCACTTTTCATATCTCTGGCCGTTTAAGCTGTTGACTGTAGCCAGCATTTGTAAGTCTCCTCTATTTGTTATAAGATAAATCTGCACCTAGAGCTGTGGAAGACTGTCAGAAAGTAGGTTTAAGCTAAGAGTGCAACTTCACAGCCAATAAACCCACACCACTGCTAAAGATGCAAGCTGCTCTCATAGTCTGCAATGGGTTTCTTAAGTATGGCTCAGACTAATCAGCTATAAGCTTCCTTTCAATCATAACACCCACAGCTGATCAGGTTTTAAGATTGCTTGTGGTTCTACTGTAACTGTGTTTTTTACTTATTAGAACAAATCTCATTTGATCATGGCCTCATTCTGGTGAACTCTGTATTGTTCCCTTTGTTGCTGCATTAACACTTATAATGAATATAAAAATTGATAACACTGACTATGTCTTTTGTCTCCTCTCCAGTGCGGGGCTGTCGCCCAGGGAAGATAGTCCAGATGACTGAGGCAGAGGTGCGGGGCCTCTGCATCAAATCCAGGGAGATCTTCCTCAGCCAGCCCATCCTGCTGGAGCTTGAGGCGCCTCTGAAGATTTGTGGTTAGCATTTTACATTTGTACCTGTATGTTAGGTCATTTGTTTGATTTCTTGTTCATCTTGCTTGCACTCTCTCGTAACCTTCTGTAACATACTCTACTGTGACATTTCTTGCAAGACGCTTCTAAAGTGAGAGGTTTAAGGGCACAGGAAATTGAAAGCATAAGCTGAAATTGAACGTTTAATTAAAAAAGAAAGAACAGTCATTTACACAACCGCTAGCTGCCTGCCAAATACCTGATTTGTGAAAATTAGTGCAGTGCTGCTGTGTATTTCCCCACTATTTGACTTGACACACTGCACTGCAATGAGTAATTAATCATAGGAATGCTAATGACAGGCTGTAGTTTAGATAAAGAATGGCCATGTCTACAAACTGTACATGAAAAGCAAGCACACATCAAGCAGACCTATTCACTTTTCATAAGCAGATCACAAGGTACAGTAACCATTTTCAATATTTGCTTTTTCTGTGATCCTGCAATTAATTAAAGTACTGTAACCAGCTTGAGTATTTGCCTATAGCCCTTCACAAATATCAAACAACAACATAATCTTAATTTCTAAGATGCAGCTCAAGCAGAAAGCTCCACCAGCACCAGTGGCAAGCCTCACTCTGCTGAGCACAGCCCAGATTTTTTATTTCATTTTATTTTATTTTTGGTGTAGCTCAGAGTTTAATTATGTAACCAGACTGGATAACCTGCCTCTGTCCAGGTCATTTATTAAGTTGCTGTTTCTCTCTCGACTCAGCTACCCTGTGTACTGTATGTTAAAGAAGGATACATGCAGTGGAATTGTACAAATATAAACACAGAATGTGAATCACTGTCTTACGTGCATAATATAAACAAAGCAAAGTAGAGCAAAGAAGTGCACATTCACAAGTTAACCCCTTCTTTACATCCAAAACAGACACCACTAACACTATCTCTAGCTGGCTCCTGTACATCTCGTCACACTCCCACATACTTTATCTCTTACGTCCAGTGCAGCTCTGCAACTGCACACAACTCTGAACCATTTAATATATGTCAGTCCTTGAAAATACAGTACACAAGCTCATATGTTTTATAAGCTCAGGCCTACACACAGTTCATTTCTGGCCATCCTTATCCCAGTTTCCTCCCACACACACATTTACCTTGTGTTATAGTTGTTAATGTATGTATGTAACCTAATGTGTATCAACCTCAGATGGCAGTAATTGTATTTAAATGACGTGACAATGGGAAGTACAGCATTAATCTGATGTTTCTTATCAAACTGAACACATATATAGAAGGTGGTGTTGTGATACTTCAGTGATCAGAATAACTGACTTTTCAAAGGCCTGAAATGCTTTTGTCCATGTAAACCAAACCCTGGCACATTACACTAAAATATGCATGAGTATGAGTTGGTGGTGTTTGTTTCTGTGTTGGATTTTGTTTTTGTCTCTCTGTTTACTTTCTTGCTGTTGCTGAACTTCCTATCCCAGACTTAATACTTGTGTTTAGCCCACTGGCTGTAATGACAGGTTTTAGTACCATAGTACTATAAGGACCAAGCAGTGAATCCCTTTAATCGAGTATGTCATTCACTTTACAGAATCAATCAAAAACATGCCAGCACGCTTTACATAGCTTGGATGTATATGGACTGCTCTTCAAGTACATAAAATGAATTCCAATTCATAAACTTGATGCTGAATTGAACACACTTTTGAAAGGAACATCTACCATGAAGTGGGGTTTGCTGAGGATTTTTGGATTTGTAGTTTTCATTTAGAATATTGTGCTGAGCTTTATTATTTGGTGTTCCTCACACCAGATGTTTTATATGGCCGATTTTGAACCAGCTGCCTGCAGAAGGTCATGGAACAGCTCATTTGACAATAGCCTTACTACTTAAGTACCATTGTCTCAGTGCTTGACTAACACAAAGACCGTTACATTGTGCAGGAGTAGGTATTGTTTTATTGTTTAAGTATTTGGTTTATCTATTAGCCTGTTCTTTCAGAAGCAATGCAGTGTGGATATAAATATTTATTATTATATTTTGTCATGGAGATCTATTTATGTACCACACATGGGTGCCATAACATGCACTGCTGTGCACCTTTAATATCGTGGAGCTGTTATGGCTTTGTTTGTTTTGTTTTATTGTTATTTCTGAGGCAGGTCTTGCTCATGTATAGCACTGGTCTCTGGCTCTGGGTGATGTCTCCTTTTTTAGATTTCCACCTTTGGCTTTGCTTTTTAAACTCCAAATCTCTGTGCTGCTATTCTCTGAGTGTTTTGACACTGCAGAGGCAGTGCTGAGTAAATAATTAACTGTCATCCTACAACTTCTTGTAAGATGGCAGGCGGGGGCGTTATCCAATAGAAAGCCGGTGTCGGTGAAGCTTGCAAATTGATGCACACAGCAGTAACTTAGACTAATTTGTATGAAGTTGATAGTGTAAAACTAAGTGGTACCTTTCTGCCAGACAGCCAGTGAAGTCGTGCCTGCTAAAGCATTTAGAGGGAGAGAGAGAGAATTAAAAAGCACTAAATGCTGAAAATGGCATCAAAGTCCATTTCTGTTTTGGTGCATGCACTTGTAAGAATTACTATTCTGTGTGATGTCCTCTGTCCTGTGTATTTCCTCTGTTGCTCATTTTTTGACAGTCAAGACCAAAAAAAAAAAAAAAAACCTGTTTTTTAAAGTCAGTGTTTTCATATTTTTTTGTAGGAACAGCAGGGCTCAGGTCTGTTCCCAGCTTTAGTGACATTAGCACAATGGCAACTCAAAGTGACCACAGATAAAATACTGTGGGCATGACAGAATTTTCACTTGTGGCAGAATAACATTAAAATAATGTTAATTGTTACACAAAGAGAAGTGCAGTAATAGTACTGTAAAGCTGAAATGTTAAAGAAACATAATTCTTGTTTTGGAAAGAGACTCATTCCACATGGGATCCTAATTTCCACCTGCCATCACCTTTGAGAATGTAACACTCACAATATGGTTTGAAAAAAGCAACTAACATAATAGCACAAGAAAAGGTCTAACTAGGCTTTATGATTTTATACTGTCAGTTCATGGCCTGGATTATGTTGCTGGAGCACTTTAATAATGGAAAACCGTTTCCATCAAACCATAATATTGTATTATTAATGCAAAGTTGTGAAGATTTTACTATTAGTAGTACTTGTATCAAAACTGTAGATGGCAAGCTAGGGCCGCATGTACAGGGCAAAGAAAATGATTGATGGTGAAACACAAACCAGCTGGCGAAGCACAAGACAGGCACTGAGTATAAGACAGAGCTAGACTTCAAACTTGCTGAACTGTTCCTTTAATCATGCATCTGCATGGAAAAATGTACTTTTGCATGCCATCCTAAGACATGGGCAAAAATAAGCATAGGCCTGTAGTATAGAGTCTGGGTGCCAGTCGTGGTTTGCGTTTTGGTGCCTAGATCACTGATGGACACCATGAAATAGAGAATAAAAACATGCTATCCACTCTTATGACTTCAGTATAAAGTTGCACTTTTTGTTGGTCATTTTAATCTCAGGGCCAGACAGCTGCACAGTTTAACGAGGTCTGTTTTGTATTTGGTGCAATCTTGTAATGAAGCATTACCATAAAAAGACTAACACATGAATTTGCTTTCCACTTTGGTCACAATAAAGTCTGTTATTATTGCCCTAGTTGTCCCGGTGAGGCTCTCTGCAGTCCTGTAGCACGTAGCCCAAATTACAGCAGCTCTTAAGTTGGTGCAAGGGGATATAAAAGGAAGCAGGTCTTGGTTAGGTGATGAAGTGGGGCTCCCCTGCAGAGAGCCATTGCATTGGTGAGAGGGCGTCCAGTTCATCACTTCCTTTATTTTTGTGATTAACCTGGATCGTCCGTGTTCTTTCTTTCTAGCTCATTTCCCATGAGTCATGGCATTGATCTGGTGGCTCATTTTGTGTGTCTTGTCCTTGGGTTTGCTGCTGCAGGCCCAGTAAAGCATAACTGCAGTCATATTAGAGAGATAGGATGTGGTGTGTCTATAATTGTGTGTGTGTGTGAATATGTGGTTTTGAAATAGATAAACTAACAGTATTTGCTTTTGTGTGAACTCCCGCAGTTTCTTCGATGATGCTCTGTTTCTCACTTTCCTCTCTAAGTAGAGCTCCTTCTTTCTGTCCTTATGACTGCACTTACAGTAAATGGTTGAATTAACACCTTGCTTCTCACTCCCTTTTTAGGTGATATCCATGGGCAGTACACAGATCTACTGAGGCTGTTTGAATATGGGGGCTTCCCTCCAGAGGCAAACTACTTGTTCCTGGGCGACTATGTGGACAGAGGGAAACAGTCCCTGGAAACCATCTGCCTTCTGCTGGCCTACAAGATCAAATACCCAGAGAACTTTTTCCTGCTCAGGGGCAACCATGAGTGTGCTTCCATCAACCGCATCTATGGGTTCTACGATGAGTGTAATTATAGACTCCTCCTGCTCAAATGTACACAAACACTGATGCTGTATGTAAGCAAGGTCTAATGATGTGTGTTTATGTGCGCCAACAGGTAAGCGCAGGTTCAACATTAAGTTGTGGAAGACCTTCACTGACTGTTTTAACTGCCTCCCCATTGCTGCTATTATTGATGAGAAGATCTTCTGCTGCCATGGAGGTGAGGGAGTTAATGTTGGCACTCATTTCCTTCCTTTATCCTAAATTTTATCTTGGGTCTTGTTTGAAAAAATATTGGCGTTGACTCATTATCCAGAAGTAACCTGTTTCTTTTCCTTTTCAGGACTATCACCTGATTTGCAGTCAATGGAGCAGATTCGCAGGATCATGAGACCAACAGACGTGCCTGATACAGGTACTGCGTGCGTGAGTCTTCACCTACTTAGGTGCATGTTCATACTTGCAGGAGCGCTGGATTTCTCCACAGAATTTAAATCTACCTTTTAAATGCCTTTAACAGCCTCTGTCTTCCTGAGTGAATAACTGTTATACCAGTCGATTTTCTGTTATATCAGCAAAGTCACCTGGATTTGAGCACATTCTTCCCCCCTGCTGTCTCTCTGTGCTCTCCCTTTTACTCTTTGTTTGTTTGTGTATTTATTTATAAGTGACAGTGCACATTAATCAACACTCTCAATCAGTGTACATGTGCTGGGGTTAGCTCAACAGCTAATTTGCATCTGTAGTCCCAACCTAATTAAATATTACAAATGATAAACATTTACCTGTAACAATACAATGAAAATGACACTACAAACAAGTTAATCCATCAAAATTACAGATGAATACATGTCTGAGTAGACAACTGTTACTTTTGTTTGAAAAGTGCTTTATGATGTGCAGCTCCTTATTTTCATCAGTACAGTGTTGCAGAGAGTTGTTGCTCTCACAGAAAAGGCTGATTGTACAATTTTCTTGACCTGTGTGTTTGTCACTATCTCTTGTTTTCATGTATGCGTCTCAGGCTTGTTGTGTGACCTGTTGTGGTCAGACCCAGATAAAGATGTACAAGGCTGGGGAGAGAACGACCGCGGGGTCTCCTTTACCTTTGGGGCCGACGTGGTCAGCAAGTTCCTTAACCGGCATGACCTGGACCTCATCTGCAGGGCCCATCAGGTAATTATGAAGCAAATGAAAGTAGAGTGCTTAGATATGAAAAATACATATAGGAAGCAAATAGCAACTAATTGATCTTGTGGGAGTTTTGTTGTTCTTAGGGACCTGGTTAGCTTGGTTTTGGGGAATTGTTTAGCCTTTCACTGTAATGATAGCTTCATGTCTTTTGATGCAGGTGTAGGTGATGTTGTAGACTCAACCATGATAGCAAAGTGTGATTCTGAAACTGAAGATGGGCCTCTTGGTACTGATTGCTGTAGGCCAGGGGTTTTCAACTAGCTATGACCCTGGAACCACCATTATGACTAAGACGTTAATCCAAGGACCACTTTTATGGGGTGGCTACACCAAATGGGCACTATTTTATTCCCGATCTTCACCTTGACTTTTCACAAACAATAACTAATATATGGAAATTAAAAATGAAATGTTAAAATTAAAATAAAAAAAAATTCCAACAGTAAACCTGCATTATTGGATGCATGATCAGGGACCATCTGCGAGGCCTTGGCAGACCACCCTGGTGGCCATGGATCACTGGTTGAAAACCCCTGCTGTAGGCAGAAGAATAATGTCACATGTCTCTAAACAGGTTGTGGAGGATGGATACGAGTTCTTTGCCAAACGCCAACTGGTCACACTTTTCTCTGCTCCCAACTACTGCGGGGAGTTTGACAATGCAGGCGGCATGATGAGCGTTGATGAATCCCTCATGTGCTCCTTCCAGGTAGTGCAAAAAAACAGGGACACATGCATTTATGCTAATTGCTTTTTAATGTTTCACACTGTTTCAGAAAGATATCCATCTTCTCTCTATGTATGCTTGTGTCTTAAAGATCCTAAAGCCCTCAGAGAAGAAGGCCAAGTACCAATATGGTGGTGTAAATTCTGGTCGTCCTGTAACTCCACCCCGCACCACCCAAGCCCCCAAAAAGAGGTGAATGTACAGCGTTGCCTCCCCCCTTCCTTATCACCCTGTCTATTCTTGGTCTGCCAACATGGCAACCCCTGTAACTCCCCTATGTAGTGAAGATACAGGGCTTATTTAATTGCCCAAATCTCCTCTTTCGTCCCCACTCACCCACGCCCTCCCCCACTCCACTGACAGCTCTTTTCTTAATGTGTATGTGTACATAAACTTGCTGTGACCAATCTGTTTTTTTTTGCCTGTTTATTGGTATTTTTTGTATTATTAACAAATAATCTTTTTGGTGGTTTTACCTCCAGTGCTATTAATAAAGGTTTCCTGAAGTTCTGTGTTGTGCAAGAAAATGCCTTCTCTGTGTAGAGGGGCAAGGTTAGAGAGATTCTTGTTCAGTTTAACTAACACTTAACATTGGTTGAACATTGATTTGCCTTGACCTCTCAAAAAGCAGAGGGAATCCTTCCAGTGTATTTAAATAAGACTGAGATTTTCTGTGCAATGCTAAATCCGTAGATACAAATAACATCTCTCATATTTGAGTTTAACAATTTAAACCCAATATAGCATGTGCAGTGCACTTTGCGGTTGTTTTGCACAAGCACATTTTATATATTTAACTACTGAAAAAGTGCACCTCCCCATGAGTGGCCATGAATGTGAGGAGACCAGCTTGAATGAAATATAGAGGCTAAATTGATGCTGCTGGCACTGGACACGCTCTACCCGCTAACACAACGCCCTCTGGGCATCGATTCCTCCACTCTGTTCTGCTTCCCTGTTCCTCGACTCCACACCCACATAAAAACACACTGCTTCTCACACAGAGCTGGTATTGACATTTTCCTGAGTCTGAATTCTTATGGGGAAATTATCTTGATGGCAACAAACTAATCTCTTGAATTCTAAAGAATTCTCTTGATTTAGGTTGAAATATTATTTAGGGTTTATGCTCATGAAAATTTTATTCCAGCCAAAAGATTTTGAATAGTATGAGACACTTATGATCAGTGTTAAATGATGTACTAAGAGTGCTTACAGAATTGTGCTTTACTAATCTGAGCCTTTATATGAAGGGGCAAGTTAGGATAAGAAATGTGGAACAGCCCTGTCAGTGTCTTGATTTGCAGTTTTAAAAAAAAAAGACCAATTAGTAAAAATAAATGCAAAGGAAGTCGCTAAAATGCTCCACAGTATTTGATTAGTTTAGTACTGTGTTTATTGAGCGTACAGCAGACAAATAAAATTAATAGGATTGCTTTTGGAGTCTTTGCTGTGAAATGCTAGCCGTCCTTCTTTTATGTCATCCAGTCTATTCAGACACACAACATGAAAACTGGTGGAGTCAGGAGTGGGTGGAAGGACCAGGTGGTTTTGCTGTGTGATGTTGATGCCACCTGGTGTACAGATAATATAGTACAGTGCAAAGTAGCACAAATGTAATGAAAAATTCTAACTAGATAGCTGAAGATGGGCTTTTCTTTGCATTGCAAGTATAAAATGTTTCTGTCTTACTGACCAGCAATTAGCCTGATTAACACTTCAGCTTCACTCTGCTGCAAATAAGATGCAGTTGACTTTTGTGGAAAACAGTTGCCTCTTTCTTCTTCTTTTAGTTTTTGCTCTTTGCAGTATTCATCTTTCTTTTGTAGTTATGTGTTCTCAATTCATAATTGTTTACTTTATATTCACTTAATTTATTTCCTAATAATGATACGACAACGATGTGTTACCAAAAGCTGTTTTGCAATTTGTACGAGTTTGTTGGAAAGTATAAATTCAATAAAATGGATGGAAAACAACATTTTTGTTACCTGTTTTTCTTATCTTTGCATGAGTGTATGTCTTTACTGTTATCCATCCATCCATTATCTATATCGCTAATTCCTGGGGAGGTAGGTAGGTACTTTATTGATCCCTCAATGGGGAAATTTCAGTGTTTCAGCAGCAATGGAGAACAAACAACATAACACAATGAGAAACAAACACCACATCTTGATAAAGAGGGAGCTGGAGCCTGTCTCAGCCGACACTGGGCAAGAGGCGAGGTCGCCTGCAAAGGTAAAATGTGCCCATTATTCAGTTTATACATGCAGTAAGTTACTCATATGTGCAGTAAAATAAAGTTTTTAAAGTTCATGAAACAAAAAGTAACTTCATTACCAGTTAAATACAATTTTTTCAGTATCTGTTGTAAATTTCTATTTGTAAGCCGCTTCACTTGCGTGTAATGTGCTTGTTGGTGGAAATACTGGAGTTTGTTGACCAGTTTTCGATTTAGCAAACACTGTAAGACAATCCTTAGATATTTATTTCAGGGATGTTTTGTGTATTTTATCTTCCAAAACCGATGGGGGCGCCATCTGTAACTCTTATCTATTTATTTTTTTGTTTGTTTGACTGCCGTCGACTGAGCAGGATGCGGAGCACGGGGATCAATAACTCTGTTACACACTCCAGCACTATGCTCCAGGATGGTATGTAGCGGAAATGCACCTCAACGTTGGATGCTACCATTAAATAGAAAGAAGAAGAAGAAGAACAGGAAGCAGCGCGTGACATTAGCTTCATATACATCATGGATAGGCCACAGTCCCTGCTCATTCGCAGTTGAAGTGTTTACAGATCTATGACGTTTTCTGGTGCACGCTCCTGAACCAGAAGTGCAGTTTGTGTTCCATTCTCTGCATCGTATGCGGCGAATGTAATTTATGAAGTCATTCGAACAATTTAACGGGTTGTGTTTAATGCCAGGCATTAGTCTCTATTTAAGTAGACATAGTTTGCGGGAGAAACCAGAGTGTTTGTCTTTCGGACAATAAAGCTATCTTAACTGTGGCATTCTTGTTTTGCTTGGCTGCTGTTGACAAGTCTAAAGTTCATCAGTGCAGGTAATGTTGTTAGGTTTTTAATTATATCTTTAGGAATTGCAGAAATGCAGTAGACCAACTGTATATGCGGTAAAGCATAGCGAGCATGCTGTAACTGACTTTTATTTATATATTTATTTGTATTTTTGACATGACTTCTGTACAGTTTGAAGCTGTCTTTGTCATGGCCGGATTAACATCCTAAGGGGCCCCAAGGCAATGAGTTGTTGGACCCCTACTGACCCCCTCTGTACATAGGGATTTCATTATTTCTCTAGGCATTTAAAATCCAACCAGCACTTTTGAGCAGAAATTATTTGTTGATTAATCAGTTATTTGATTGGCAGAAAATGTTTTGAGGTTCTTTTGTTACACACTTAACAATCCTACTTTCTTCATCCCTGCAGGCTGAATTAAAAAAATACACTGACTGAGATTCATTGGCATCCTATTTGAAAACATTCCCTCACAGCTGTCTCAGTAATGAACCAGGGAAAGCTTCAAGCCCAGACTGAAGAATGGCAAGGTTTAGGCGCAAATCTTGCATCACATTAATTGCTTTGGTGTTGCTTGTACTCATCATAATAGTGGTCTTGAAGGCACTGACACCAGATGACTCTCCGGCCAGCGGCCCTGTAGCTGTTGGACTGATTCTGGACAGAAAGAAGGACATTCTGATCCAGAGGCAAAACAACGATAAACCTGACAAGATCAAAATTAATGATTCTTTTAAATCAGACAAAGATGCAGAACTGGAAGCTACACTGAAGAAGTTTCCTCCTCCAAACTACTACCTCCATGCCTTCTACTATGTATGGTATGGGAACCCCAAGTTTGATGGGAAATATATTCACTGGGACCACCTGCAGTTGCCACACTGGGACTCTAAAGTGGCTCAGGGGTATCCACAAGGGAGACACAGCCCACCTGATGACATTGGGTCCAATTTCTACCCCCTTTTAGGGGCTTACAGTTCCAAGGACCCCTCCATTATAGAAGCTCATATGCAGCAGCTACGTACAGCAGCTATTGGTGAGACAGAGTTCTACCTGAATTTCACTTAGGAGCTAATCAATAATTCAAACTGCTTTTTGGTATATGTTGTATTTTTTTGGACACTTTACAGAAATTTATAGACAAAAATATATGATTTAACACAGGTAATCACTACTTTGACATATTAATATCAAGTTTATGTTTATGAACCATTTTCTCTTCTTTTATTCAGGTTTATGTCTGACCTGTAACTGTGTCTAATCTCAGGTGTCATTGCTGTTTCCTGGTATCCCCCTAATTTGAAGGATGACAACGGTGAGCCAGTGGATGACATTGTACCTTTACTGCTGGAAGTGGCACATAAATACCAAATTAAGGTCTGTGTTTAGATAGTAGCGGACTCAATTCGCATTAGCAGCAGACTATAGGCTTGATCTACAGAGTTCCTTAAAATATCAAATATGATGAAATTTTCATGTTCATCTCATTATGTAGCATCATTTCTGTGATTACAGGTAGCTTTTCACATTGAACCATACAGAGGAAGAGATGAAGCCACCATGTTCTCTAATGTTAAGTTTATCATTGAGAAGTAAGTAATGCTGTTCCTTCACTGAGGTCAATTCCATGATCCTACACTTTGTTTGGGAATCAGTTTGTCACACTTTGTTTATCAGTCAGTTATTATAATGTTTGTAGTTGACATTTTCTTTTGTTCTTTACCTGATAACTCTTCTCTTCAGATACGGAAGCCACCCTGCTTTCTTCAGGTACCAGACAAACACTGGCAAGCTGCTTCCACTCTTCTATGTGTATGACTCATATCTGATGAACTTGGAGCAGTGGGCCAAGCTGCTAAAACACACAGAGAGTAATAGCATCAGGGATACCCCGTATGACGCCATCTTCATCGCCCTGCTGGTGGAAGAGAAACATAAGAGGGACATTGTGACAGCAGGATTTGATGGTGTCTATACCTACTTTGCTACTAATGGGTTCTCCTATGGGTCCACTCAGCGCAACTGGGACTCTATTAAAGCATTCTGCGAAGATAACAACTTGTTATTCATCCCAAGCGTGGGGCCAGGATATATTGACACAAGTATTCGACCCTGGAACTTCCAAAACACTCGAAACCGCATCAATGGCAGATACTATGAAACCTCGCTGACTGCTGCTTTAGAAGCCAGGCCTGATTTTATCTCTATAACCTCCTTTAATGAATGGCACGAGGGGACTCAGATTGAAATGGCAATTCCCAAAACAGGCCAGACTGCATATCTGGACTACTTGCCCAACAAACCTGCAATCTACCTGGAGATAACACGCAAATGGGCTGCAATATTTGGTGGCGAGAGACGGAAGTGGCAGGAGTAGTCTAAGAATCATAGTGAATCTTTATTATTTATGAGATGACAACTAAATGAAGTTCTAGTTGCACAACAAAATGCCAATGATGAATAATTGTGTTAGAAAAACCAAATGACTTGCAAAACCACAGGCAAGTGAACTACTTCATTACCTTTCTTTGCCTGTAGTGTATGTTATTCTTTACACTTGGGTAAATTGTTTTTAATTTCATCTGATGTCATATTACGTCTTGTTTACACAGATTCATAACCTAATCAGCATGTTTTATTTTTGTCTGCATCATTTTCCTTACTGTAACCTGTGATAATATTAAGCCTCAATCGAAATAAATAAAGTGCTCCCTAGAAAGGAAGGGAAAACACAAGTAACCAAGGCAATCTGGTAAAGCTGTTGCCTCACTCTGCTTCCAGTGCTCAGTCTGAACCCAACAACTACAAGAAAAAGCACAACATATTGGAATTTTAAAGGCATGTCAACTTCAAATCTTAAGATGAATCTAGTGATGCAAACAGTAGAGAGGTAACAGGACATCAGTTCAGGTAAACACATACAGCTGAGTGAAATTACATAGTAAAATCAGGACTATTTTTATCCCTGGAATATTTTACTTCCTGGTTAGCAGTTACCATGCAATTTTAAAATAAAGTGCAAACAATTCCAGTGTACTACAAGTTCTGCCGAATGAGTAATGCCACTATCACTGCAACTCAGATGTTTGAGAAACATCAGAAGGACAACTCCAAGGGTTGCACATGTCATGGGTGTGTCAGCGCAACATCTATGCATGCGTCACTTACAACGCATTACTCCTGTGATTGTATTTTTGGCACCCCATTGCTGTGTATATTTTCATTTTAAGAAGGACCAGTTTCGTTTCTTGTCTCTGAGGTTAAAATACAGAATGGCAACGTTTCATAAACATCGCTGCTGTTGAACTGGGTTGTTGGGAGCTTGACACAGTGTGCAGGCTTTTTAATTTCTTGCTTTTTGCCTTTGGGTTGTTGTTGGTTCAGCACCTACATTTTTTATGTCCTGTTATTTGTTTGAATAAGATACAGAGTACCACTTAGAGTGGCAGAATTATAAGCTTAACTTAGGAGACACTTCAGTGGTTTTTCACATGTTAGGTATTTTTTAGTCAGATAGATATTGGTTAGGTACTTGTTGTATTAGAAATGTCTTTAGTGTAGACAGGATGTCTAGCTCAGGCTGTTAAATGCTTACACATTTCCAGGAGTTACTCCAGGTTGTTTAAATTAGTTAGTGGCTGTGCTGTTCTGCCATCTGTAACTGTGGTCATAGCTGACTCAGGTTACCTGCTATATCACCATTAGGCAGTGAAAGATATTTCCCAGTTACTCTTAACCAGTGAAACTCAGAGAGACGAGGCGGTCCAAGTGGATACAAAAAACCGTGCTGGTTTATTCAAAGGATCACAGGTAAAATTAACTTTACACGTCCAGGTATCCTTCACCTCCAATGCTGCGCGCAGGCAGATGAAGAATGAAAGACCCTGAACCCAACAGGCCTGTACATTATATCTGGTTTGGGCTAACCCCATTCTACACAGGCACGTCAAGCCGTGACGTCACCTGATATGCCAGTAGCAGTAGTCAAAACATGGAGAAACAATGTGTGTGAGTGTTGATTATGTGGTGTGTATCTAAGAACATACAGGACATTCAGGGACATGTCCGGACATTAAGCCTAGGAAGATATTATGATGAAGATTACGGCTGAACATATCATACAGTAACCACTTTCTATCTAGTTATCCTGGAACATAAACAACCTGGAGTAACTCCTGGAAATGAGTAAGCATTTAACAGCCTGAGCTAAACGTCCTGTCTACACTAAAGACATTTCTAATACAACATGTACCTAACCAATATCTCTCTGACTAATACCTAACAGCAGCCATGTAACCTACCACATAACCCTTCCATTGTTTTGGTTATTTCGTGTGACGTGGTTACTCGCTGCAGAAATGATAAGCCTGTTTATTCAGATAAGAGCCTTAAACAAATGATAGTGTGATATTTATTAACGCGGAACCTCAGCATCCCGCAAGCACTGATGCTCCGCCACAGCCTGCAGCTGCATTGACGGCAAACAGAGCAAGGCAGCGCATGGGCAGCCAGCAGGGAATTATTCAACATCGCATCACATCCCTAAGCATACATGGCGTTCTTACACACGGAGTCATGAATTCTGTGTGCAGGCTGAAGGGGTAGCCGCCAAAATTGTGCGCGGCCATCATTCTTTGCGTCGGTGTGCAGCAGTGGGGACGATTCAGTGCACATTGCCGTGGTTAGGTATCATCATTTTTCGGACTCAAGACGATGGATGTGGGCTCATCCGGATCCAAATCTACACATACGGCGGACGGGCGCGATTTTTTATTCCAAACGCATTTTATTCCTCATCTTCCGTATGGTGCAAGGTGTCTTTGAGAAGAGGACGGACTTCTTGACAAAATGAGAAGAAAGGTCTGCTTTGACTCACGCCCGTCAAGATGGTGAGTGAATTGCATGGCTATGTTTTTTTCTTATCCTGTACCCTATGGTTGCGCAGCGGCTCCAGGTTTTAACAGCAAATCAGCTAATTAGAAATGATCTCATCAGAAAAATGTGACAGCAAATGGGTTGACCGGTGCGTTGCAGATGGCCTTAGGGTGTTTAATTTTATATAACATTTCCACAACCTTATTGCACTTGACAGTTTATACTTAGGGGGAATATAAAGGATGCGTTTTTACCTTATGAATGCGACTTGTATCAAATCTTTGATTCCACTCTTAGCTGTGTGTGCGTTTGCGCATACTGTGTCTTTTTCAGCACCATAAGCCACGCTATTATTTATATTCTGCGCGTTTTTGATGCGCAAAAGGCTGCTGTGTTGGGCAACACATTAAATATTCCAGTGAATCTCATGTTGTCACCAACTTCAATGCAGTGTCACGTCGAAAAGGAAATTTTGAACAGTTGCTCCACTATAGCATCGCGTTTTAAAATGACCTTCAGTGCTCGGTGGCTGGAAATGATCTCTCACCTGTGATGGAGTGGCCTTTTACAACCAGTGATGTGGCCTTCCTGACAGAAGAATACACATAATTCAAAGTAAAAAGCTTAAAAATGTCATTTCTCGGGACAGGAGCGCCTTCCTTTTGACCTTTAGCCTGTCTGGTACTAAAACCATATCAAAGGTGTGATGTATTTGTGACTGATGTTAGAAAATCTGTACGCTGCGTTTTTTCTTTCTCCACTAATTTCTATTTCCAGTCATTCTTCGCTGCAGAATACTCACTCATGCATGCTCTGTCCGTGTCCCAAATACATCACAACGCATCAGACAAATGGCTTGTTATTTAGATTGTGAATGGACACTTGAGCAGCACTCTGATCTCATTTACAGGGATGGGGACATTTACACACTGACTGCTCTGTCACCACGAAGACACTATAGTTTTTACCACAAATTGCATATTTAATAGGTCTGATTTTGATCTCTGCACTATTGTACACTTTAGCCTGTCTGAATCTAGACACCAATGAAGGTATACATGGGCTGCCTCCTCTGTAAAGCGAAGGGCTTATCACTGCTGCTGCCAGAAAGTGTTTCAGCTGTGCAAGAGGATTTGTCTACATGTATTGATACTGTAAGCCTTTAAAAGAAATTACACTCACCTTGCCCTGGTTCTATGAACCTAACAGACTTATTGTATGTTGGAATGAATGGAGAAGCTGAAGGGGCGCTGCCATACCAAAGGTCAATATCACTGCGCATATGTGAAAGTGATGAAGTGAAGAAAAGCAGTGTTTGTGCTGGTGTTATTGATTTAAATCAGTGGTGCTTGGAATCAAATAATCATCACTCAAGGTTTATTTCTGCACTTGCTGTCTCAGTCTGTTTGTATGGACTCTTTATGCAGCATGCAGATACTGTATGTTAAGCCCCAGAGAGCTGGAGAGTCAGGGGGCCTTTCTGCTCACCTCAGCCTTTAGATGGCAGCATCCTCTTACAATACATAGGGCATGCCAAAAACGAATAATCGCTGCAAGCCCACATCAACATGAATGATTAACTGGCCATTTTGCAATACCATTTGTGATGTCATTTACAGCCTGCCTGCAGGCATGCATGCGTTTTCTGAAGTGATGTTTGCTTCTTTTCCTTCTCCTAGACCTACTGTAATTGATTCTCTGATTTTTTTTCTCTCTGCTCACATAAAGGAGCCATCATTAAGAAGACCTCTACATTCAAGATCAAACACACTTCCTTAGATCTTTAAGGATCATTATTATTCCTCTTAGGAGAAAAGGGGCATCTCTTAGCTGTGACCTGCAGTTATTTTTCTATGAGCACTGAATCACAACGAAGATCGATCCCATCATTGGCCCGATGTAGGAACTGCTCCCTCCGATTCCCGCAGCCTCTACTCTCACTTGGATTTCAGCATTCAGTCAAATCCACCAGGTTTGTATTGTAATGTAGCTAAGGAGATTTTTCTTTAGGAGCGTTGATCTAAAATAAGTGGGTGCTGTACACGTTGCAGGATGTATACTCATAGATTATAGCAAGAATTAGGAACACTGTGTTCACGTGTAGATATTCATAAACCAACTGTATTTAATTTAAATGATGTTCCGAGTTAATGATCCAGTATAGTAGGCATTATAAACACATGGTGGTAATGTACAAGACCTTTATATAATTATATTATTAGTCATATCCTGTTGATCGTGACTTTATTCTGGCTTTTTCTATTTCTTTTTTTCTTTTTGTTCGTTTGAACATTTCAGGACAGAGTATGCCATCTGCAGCTTTTCACAGAATCTTACGACCCCTTCTGCTTGGCACTTTCATACTGGGATGCTTTGTGACTCTGTTTTTGATGTATTTTAAACCGTCCACCAGCTGGTTATCAGGTCCTGTAGAGTCAACAGTATCCACAGACCGGGTCAAAAACCTCTTCTCCACCAAGAGCGACAAAAACATAACCACTGTTCTGATCTGGCTCTGGCCTTTTGGACAAACCTATGACCTGAGCGTCTGCAGCTCTCTCTTCAACATTGAGGGCTGTTTCATCACAGCAGACAGGAACCTCTACAATAAGTCGGATGGGGTTATCATCCATCACCGAGACATCTTCACCGACCTGTCTAATCTGCCGCCGCTCCAGCGACCATCCTTTCAGAAGTGGGTATGGATGAACTTGGAGTCGCCATCACACTCATCCCAGCTGCCCGGGATCGAGAACCTATTCAATCTGACTCTCAATTACCGTCAGGATGCTGATATTGAAGTGCCTTATGGGTCCATCGTAGCAGCGGAGGGCGAAGATGACTTTGTTCCACCCAGCAAAAACAAGCTGATCTGCTGGATTGTGAGTAACTGGAACCAGGACCACGTGCGGGTGAAATACTACAATGAACTGTACAAACACATTGAGGTTCATGCATATGGACAAGCCTTTGGGGAGTACATCTCTGATCAAGACTACTTCCCCACCATTGCCAGCTGTAAATTCTACCTGGCTTTTGAGAACTCCATCCACAAGGACTACATCACTGAGAAACTGTACAACCCACTCTCTGTAGGGACAGTGCCAGTGGTTCTTGGCCCACCCAGGCAGAACTATGAGAACTTTATCCAGGGAGACGCCTTCATCCATGTGGACGACTTCACCTCGCCCAAGGAGCTGGCTGATTATCTGCTGCTCCTGGACAAGAACGAGGAAATGTACCTGAGGTACTTTGAGTGGCGGCGGCACTTTAAAGTAAAGAAAGCCTATTTCTGGGCAGAGCACACATGCCTGGCTTGTGATTACCTGCGTAGGCATAAGGAGTACAAGGCATTCAATAACCTTGATAAGTGGTACTGGGGTGGATAGTGCTTTGAAGTACTATACAGTGTGTATTTTGTTGGTTGGGGAAAGCAGCGCTTTAAGATTTTTGTCCTTTGGCTGAAGGGAAGGGTCATTGCTGTTCTCACCAGAGCTGTGTTTTTATTGGTTCAGTGGCCCAGTGAGACGTCCATCTCGTTTTCTGTTATTAACAATCTAACTGATGAGCCTTACTTTGCCTTTTGCATTATTCATTCATTATTTTTTACAACTGCACTGTTTTTTCCAACCCTTGATTTGCTTAACATGGCCACATTTGCTGCTATTTAAAAAAAAAAAAATCATTATTTGTTTAAAGGTTTAAATTAAAACATTTAAATGTTACCTGTATAACAGATATCAATCATGATGCAAAGTTGATCTTTCCTTTTCAAATACCACCTTTTAATGAAGTGGCACAGTGGGCATTGAAGCAGTGTTGGCTGCAGAAGGAGACTAACATAAAATTGAAAATATTTATGTAATATTTATTCAAGTGAGGCATTATATGATAAAAACAATGTCATTTGTGCTAGTGATGCAGTCACCTATGCAGTGTTTACTGAACTCAAATGTGAAAGTAGTTCAATTGTGTCATGTACATATCGTGTATTTTTGGAATTATGTAGCTGTCACTTCCATATTTTTGTAGGTTTGCATTTGCACTGCTAATTCAGCTGTTACCTATCTTTACATTTGTACAGGAAGACAGATGGTCATCTTATTATGTGGTTGTAGATGGCATATGGTGATCATTGCCCCGGTAGTCTTCGACAGCAGATGTGACTCCGCTCTGTGAGAGGGAGGTTACTATTTAAATCATTGTGAATTGTTCATTGTCACATGTAATCTGTCACAGCGCAGTTGGACTCTTTGTGGATGATGATGATAGTGCAGTACAGAGCCATTTTACTGCAATATGAAACTCCCACACACCTCATTATGTTGCATTCTAATTTCATCTACACAAATCTATAATTTTTAGCTGAATATAGTCACGAGAAAGAGCACAAAATTTAGGTATAAATGAATCCTTTTAGTAGCTAGTTTTCAGTGTGCATTGTACTCTCATCCCACAATGTGAACTTAAATATTTACACTAATATTTTCAAATATTTCAAGCAGATGTTACCATATGGTGAACATGAGTGAGGATTAGGATCAAGCGAGATAAGGCGAGATCAGCCCACGTTTGGGACCTGTTAAGAAAAATGTGAAAGATGTCAGATGTGCTTGATGCACCGTGTTTCTGTCTTTGAATCATCACACCACAGTGTTGTTTGGTGAGTCAGAGGTTGCACGTGAAAGGTTTTTTATGCATTTTTATTTTTATTTTTCTACACTGCTGTTTACAGCACTACACCACTCGAGATCACACTACAAACGACAACTCATCACCTGTAGATATCACATCACTTTTTAATGTCAACAGCTATTCCATTGTACAATGCATCTCAACAGCACTCAGCAGCTATTTGACATAATGGTGAGGTTTTTACAGAAGGTACTGTGAAAAACCAACATTTTATGCAAATTGAGCCGGTGGCTTCTTGGACAAAACACTTGAACATTTTTCAGATTAGTATCATGTTGATATTTCTTCACTGTCAAAGGGACCATGATGTAAATTAGAATGAAGTCAGTTATTTTTATTATGGAAAGTGGTCTCAAATTCCATAGAGAAACCTGTACAGTACATAAACCTTGTTCTAAACTGATTCCTCATCTAGAGCAAACCAGTCCACTAACATGGATCATTCCTGTATGTGCACCAGTCTTGAAGGAGCTCCGGCAGTGTTTGCACACTGTTTTTTGCATATATGGAAAAAAAAAATTTAAAAGCATTGTATATATTTGTAATCTCATTATAACATGCAAATGTTGTTGGGCAGTGAATGTGGTGTCACTGTACCTGTACTGTAAGTAATGTTGGTGCTTCAAGAGGTTGTGAATCAAGACTAAAGGAGAGAGACCCTTAACCAGCACTGGAGACTATGATTTTAGTGGTGTCTGGTGGACAATTTTACAATGAATAAGTCTTTTTATAGGGGGTAAAAATGTTGGCATGACCCACCTGAAAAAGCTAAGCAAAAAGACAGCAGAGAGATAGCACTTTTATTCATGACTCATTGTGCTGGTGGCTGTCTTAGATGGAGCTATTGTAAGTTCAGAAACTGTCATTCAAAACCTTGGCTGTCCAACAGGTTAAATATGAAACTGTCACTCATGGTTTCATACAGTCCAAACTTATATATAGAAAAAAAAGCTTCCTAGTTCAGTGTGGCTGGTCACTTTAAAGAACAAAAGGAACAAAAGATTTTTATGGTGTCTTTCTCCTTCATCCTCTCTCCATTCTTTCTCTGTTTTGCACAAGAATAAACACGAGGAGCTGTGGTTTCTCTGTCCCTCCCAGTCTGAGTCTGTGAATGTGTCACAGCAGCAGAAAGTAAATCAGAATGTCTGTGGATGCTGTCTGACTTGGCACTGACTTTGCTGGAGACCTTAAATTGAAATCGTCAGGTGTGGTTGAACATGGAGATTTCTCCAGGAATGCTCATTTTCTGCCAGGTCACTGAAATAATCAGTGAGTCAGAGTTTTTTGCCAAATCATTGTATTTTGCCAAATGTGTTTTAACTGTAGATGTCTGATAGTGTCAATGAAAATAAAGATATGGAAAAATGAGCAAACACGAATGAAGCTCGCAGCACTTTCTTTGTAAAGAGACAGCTGGTGATGTATTTGGTAACTGTAATCTTACATTGAAACTATATTTTTTTAAAAAGATTCTGTTGTTGTTCACCCTTAAAGAAGTAGGTTGACATTTTGGGAAACACTTATTTGCTTTGTTGATAAGAGTTACATGAGAAGATTACTACCACTTTACATGTGGGTACAATAAATGTGTAGCAAGAACCGGAAGCCATTATTTAGCATAATGATGGAAACAATTGGAACACTTAGCCTATTTTTCATTTGGTTAAACCTGTTGTCAAAACAACAATAACTGCAGCTAAACCGTATATAGTTACAGTTGGTCTTGATCTTCTTATGTAACTCTTGGAACTACAGAGTTCATGAGCACATTTTCCAATTTGTCAAACTATTCATATAAATGTCAGCATTTCACTCATTTAACATGTATCTGGTGCATATGAAAGTTTGAGTTCCTCGGGTTGGTTTGTTGGTCCTGACACTATTTACATTATGCCCATTACATATTGTTCTTGTATCTATATCAAATATAATTTCCACAGTTGTTGCCCACACTGTTCTGCAGTGCCAGGTAATGCAGGCAGAGGTAAAAATAGCAATCCAACAGCCTTGATAAGTGATTGATGAGAGCAAGGAGAATGTGTTGTGGTGGTTACGCCTCGATCCTTCGGCTGTTGTTAGTTACCCCCTTATCCTCACCAACGTTCTGGTATTTCCAGTCGTCTTCTGAACCATGCAGAGACACAGAGATGACACCTCTTTTTGTCACCTGCTTCTGCTCAACGCCGCAGGTCAAAGTGTATGATAAGCGTGTTCGTTGCCGAGATCAGTGCCACAAATAATCCGTCTATGTCAGTTAGGGATTAATATGAAAGTTCAGGTGGTGAGGGAAGTGGGTGGTCATTCCAGCTTGCACAACTTAAGACTGTATCACAGAGGTCACTGTCCTCATTTTTTCATTGATCGACGGACACATCTTCAAGAACTAATTTGACATTGTGAGACCTGTAGCTACTGATGTGACTGTTTGCCAAGAGCAATGTGCTGAGATTGCACCATTTTCACGTGTGTACAGTAAATATGTAGAAAATGCCAGCAGCAGTATTTATCAGAACACTGTAAATAGTGGAAACAGCCAACCTGACTATGCATGACTACTGTTTGACTTTGTCTTGCTTGTGATAGAACTAATTTGACATTGTGAGAACTGTAGCTACTGATCTGAATGTTTGCCAGGAGCAATGTGATGAGATTGCACCATTTTCACGTGTGTACAGTAAATATGTATAAAGTGCCAGAGGCAGCATTTACCAGAACTTAACTCAATGGTGGAAACAGCCAACCTGACTATGCATGACTACTGTATGACTATATCTTGCTTGTTCAGTTTATGTATAGATTAAACAAATGAGATATAACCTGATAATTAACATACAGCTGTTATCAGTGAGACTGGTCTGATAAACACATTGAACACTATTTGCATAACACCACTGTTAAGTAGCTAGCTGGTGACCAAGGTGGCACATTAGCAGTTAAAGAGACAGATACAGAAACCCTCGGGTGTTGGTAAAGACCAAAACCAGAGCTAAAAGAATGTTACCACTGGATTCCAAATAAATGATAATGTTGCTTCATAGCTGCTGGGTGTGTAAATAAGCAACTGTTTGCTAAGGTTGTCATATCAACTTGAAAGGTAATATATCAAGCTTGTGTGCACAACTTATTTCTACTGCAAGTGGCCAAAATATCACATAGAGAAGGTTTCACATATAGCACATTCTTATAAAACATTGTGAGAACAGTGTCAACAACCAATTTACCATTTTTCTTAGTCATTTAAATCCCACATTTTGAATCTTAGCAGAGAGTTGAGAAAACGAACACCATGTTAGAGCCACATCGCACTTATGACTGCTGAGCTTTCTGTTTTCATTTAAGAATCTGGAGCATTTACATTAAGCCTGTTTATTTGTGCTGCAGGTTTGTGTAAAGGGAAGCAGCAGGCTCTGAGGATGGAGTTATCATTTCTGGACACTGTTCTTGAAAGCTGGATTTAAAAGACTTATTCTTGGGCTCTGAAGCGTTGCAGTTTACTAAAGATTGTGGTTTTTCTTGTCACAGTTATGTTAACATTTCTTTTTTTTTTTTTTTTGCTTGTGAATGCTATCTCTGCTTTACAGGTGTTAAATAACTCATTCAAATTCAGGTTCTTATTTAGGTAATTTATTAAAGTTTTGTCCTCTGACTTGCTGCTGCAAGAAGTAACTGGCAGCTTTTCAGTCGAAATACCATAAAATCTGTGAGCTGGGAGGAAGAAAGGGATCAAAGAGAACATCTTAGTGGGCTGTACTATCCGAGGAGTAGACAAGTTTCTCTTCTCTTTAGCAGTGGAGATCAAATGTCTGGTTCTGTCACCCACTCATACAGTGACTCACTTTGGTGAGAACTGGGGACAAGTGGGGGCAGAGTTAGTAGAGGCATTAACTAGGCACTCACAGGGCCTCCCAGAAGGAGTATAATGTTTGTGAGATTGTAGGCTTAGCAGACTGTATCCTTCTTGCACCCCTGTGTGGCTATCCTGTTCACTCAAAAATGTTGTGTTGAAAGCAAGCTCTGCATGTCACACAAGAGTGCAGAGGGTTGCACAAAGGGCCAGGATTGTGTGAGTCCACTCATTAACTGCTAGAGCTGTCCCTCATCTCAACCTAATGGATCCCGCTTATACTGTCATCACCATGCCAACCAGCTGTCAACTCGAGTGCGTTGAGGCCTTTGTGTTTCAGAGAGACGTGTTTTGTGTTGATCTGTTTAGTCCACAAGTCACCATCTCAGAGGAGCCACTAAAGTAAATGCTTATCTTCTGCTGTGAGATCATTTGATTAGGATGAGGAAAAAAAGCAGCCACTGACACCTGATTGTAAAGACTGAATACATTAAGATAAGAGGACACCTGAGTCCAGGTCAACTAAAGGCCTATTTACTAGGGCTAGGGAAGGTGCATACAAAATCTATTGGCAGCTGCTCACTAGTTACAGTAACTTCAGAGGATTAAGGAAATGCAAGATCAGTAAGCTTGTGCAAAGACCAGCTCCTGTTATCTATCAGATACAAATCAGAGCAGTTATAATACAATTACAAACATGCATGCACAAAAGCAGATTAATTCTGACAATATAATCACAAAATACAATAATCACTGAATAAATAAATAAGTAAGTAAGATGACCTCTTGATATGCAGTTCAATTTATGAAGACTTTTTGTTTGCAGATGAATATAGGTCACCTCCACCATGGCTTGATGCCACATAATGGCAGATATACTGTGCATCAGTGCAACAAAGATTAGAAGCTTTTGAGAGGAAATTATTGTTTTTGTATTGCAGTCGCTTCAGGGTTTATTTAAAGCTTGCGTGGCTTTGTGATCTGCAGACGCTTATCTGGACACCAGCAGGGAGCATGGATACAATACAGTGGTAATTTAATCCAGTGAATCAGATAACTCGGTCTAATCTGCCAGAGCCACCTTCTTAGAAATAAGAAGGATGAAGGATGGCTCCAAATCAGAAGTCTCTGCTTTACCTGAATTTCTGACATGATATGGTTATTTTACATAACATGCATCTTCTCGTAGGCCAAAAATAACAGCCTTACATTATTCCTTGGTGGTTTGTAGGTACCACCTACATACTCTGCAAAACCCTGTTCCAACATCACCTGTTTATCCAAAACCAGATTACATCTTGTTTATTTATTACTACAGTGTAATTCTAGATACATTTCTTTACAGGGGAGTGAAGACAGAAGGGAAGAGAGTTCATCCATACAGAGCTGCATTCCTCTCAGGCTCATCCCTGCCACTGACCTTCCTGTGTGTATATATGAGGGATTAGGCCTGTGGGCTGAGGCTGGTGGTCTTCCCAGGCTATTTTTATGAAGATGTCCACGCCTTGATCCTTTTGGAAAACTGATATGAGCGCATGTTCCAAATGTTAGTTGGCTTTCAGTCAAAATTGCAGATGTTTGTTTGTTTTTTAACCAGGTGACAAATGAGGATTTGTGCTTTTTCAGAGATGCATTTCGACACCTACCACTGTGCATGTACTTGGTTTATGAGCCAAAAGTACACAGACTAACATGACACACTTTATTTATATATTGTATTGCAATGATCTGGGCACAGCACCAGAGCCAGGGAGCTTTTATTCCACAGGATCATGCTGAATGGTTCTTAATGGAGTTACAAAGTATCACTATCAGCAACATGGTCACCATTTCTGCTCCTCCCTATTTATTTTGCTGTGGATAGATTGAACATCCACAAACTCGCAGTTTCCCCTTTTTAAAGTGCTGCCAAAGCTCTCTCAATAGCCACTGAGAGGTCCTGGCAATATAACCAGTACCAATCAGTACATGGCAGCCACAAAGCTGCTGGCACCTACCTCTTATAAGCCATCTGCAACTGCTTGTTTGCATAGCAGGCACTGACAAAGGCCACAAGTGTATCCAGACATGTCACAGCATTCAAATAGGCAACAATCTCCACAGTGGCACCAGTATCCAAACTCATATAGTGTGTGAAAAACAAAAGATTTTTAAATGTTTAGGCTCAAATCTCATCTTTTACTAATGTGTATTTATGTAACGTGGATCAAACCTTTGGGCCTTGGCATTAGTTTATAATATATGTTTCTCAACAATAATTTATCTTCTAGTCATAAAACAGTATTTCCCATTGATTTCTGCATTTGTGAGATAAAGAAATGATGATTACATTAATAACTTTCAAAGGCTTAGTGATCTCTGCACCATCAGCTCCCTTAAAAGGTACAGAATGATGCAGTGGAGCATGTCCATTCTCCCCAGAGATTACTACTAATGAGAGGGCCAGTATTTATAGCAGATCCCCCCCAGTGGATACCCTTAATCCTGCCTCACCCCTTTCTATCCCTGTGCCTGGACCACTTGCTCTCTTGAGCCTCTTCATATTGTATCAACTGTCAAGGTAGAGACTTCTTTAATACTACACTGCTTTTTTCAGACTCTTTTGAAAGAAGGGGAAAAATTGACTGGCCTCTTTACTTGGTTGATGAAAGAGGGAGGAGACTGCCCGGACTATTACAGGGAATGTTCCATCTCTTCTATTCTTCTTTCTTGTCAAATTTTCCTTACTTCTGCTCTCTTTGACCTGCAGCAAAGAAAAGCAAACAACAATGTCCACCATCGAGCATTTAGGCTGCCATTACTGCAAAGACTCCCTGTTGGGAAAGAAGTATATAATGAAAGAGGACACCCAGTACTGCACTAAGTGCTATGAGAACCTGTTCGCTAACTGCTGTGAGGGCTGTTCTTCACCAATTGGCTGCAACGCTAAGGTAAGGAAGGCACTGCCAGTGTTGCCCAGGGAGTAATGGACTTCGCATCACGTATGTTAAAATAAGGATGTGTTTATTTATGTTATAATCTAGAGGTGAGAAATGTTTTGATGACGTTTTCTGCCCTTATACTGTAAAACACCAAGTTGTTATAATTACTGGTGCTATTCCTAAATGTTTTTGTATCTGTGATCATTCTATATAAACATTTAAATATTCACATGTGCAAATAAATAATGTGATATATATCCACAGGACCTGTCTTATAAGGATCGTCACTGGCACGAGCAGTGCTTCAAGTGTGCCATATGCGACCGCTCTCTTGTAGAAAAGGCTTTTGCCGCCAAGGATGATTTGCTGCTCTGCACAGAATGCTACGCCAATGATTACTCCTCCAAGTGTACCACCTGCAAGAAAACCATCATGCCAGGTATATTATCATGTTACATTATCAATGACACATTCATACTGATCCCAATAAGATGTACTATATAATAAATAGGTTTTTTAAAATGCATTATTGAAATTGAAAGTGGGGTAGCATGGTGGTGCAGTGAATAGATAGGTAGACAGATAGATAGATAGATAGACAGACAGATAGATAGACAGACAAACAGACAGACAGATAGATAGATAGATAGATAGATAGATAGATAGATAGATAGATAGATAGATAGATAGGTAGACAGACAAACAGACAGACAAATAGATAGATAGATAGATAGATAGATAGATAGATAGATAGACAAACAGACAGACAGATAGATAGATAGATAGACAGACAGACAGACAGACAGACAGATAGATACACTCATCAACAGTTGATATTATTATACTCCCAAAATCCTTTCCAAGAACGCTACTGTACACCCCCACCCCCTCCCTACAGATAAAGCTGGACTATTTTGGGCCACAGTGTGTTTGTGTCACAGAGGTACCATGTGCTGACTAAGCTACTCTCGTCCCTTGTGCCAGGTTCCCGCAAAATGGAATACAAGGGAAACAGCTGGCATGAGACCTGCTTCCTGTGCCACCGCTGCCAGCAGCCAATAGGAACCAAGTCCTTCATCCCCAAAGACACCGGGTACTTCTGTGTGCCCTGCTTCGAGAAGCAGTTTGCCTACCAGTGCTGTGCCTGTAAGAAGGTAGGGTTACAGCTGAATGTTCTATATTGTTGACTGCTGCAGTAAATCCCACTGGCTCTGATATTTTAATGTTACTCACACTGTGGCTGCATAGTACAGGGATGCATAGCAAGAGGAATATCACTGTGTGTCTTTGTGTTTGCATGCTTGTTGTGTGTTGCCTCTAGGCCATCACAACAGGTGGTGTGACCTACCAAGACAAGCCCTGGCACCGTGAGTGCTTCCTGTGCATTGGCTGCAGAAAGCAGCTGTCAGGTCAGCGCTTCACCTCCAGGGAAAACTACCCCTACTGCCTCGAGTGTTTCAGCAACCTGTATGCAAAGAAGTGTGTGGGCTGCACCAAACCCATCACCAGTGAGTCACAGGCTGTGCTTGTGTTTTCATTCCTTCTGACACTGCTCAAGCAGTTCTCTTGCTCATATTTAATTCATTTCAGTAGGGAGAGTCATACAAACGAGGTGAATGTCTTGTCATACACCTGCACATTATGTAAATACATGGATCTTTTACGTTGTGCACAGGTTTGGCAGGGGCAAAGTACATTTCTTTTGAAGAACGCCAGTGGCACAGCGAGTGCTTCATGTGTGCGCAGTGCTCCGTGTCACTGGTGGGACGCGGCTTCCTCACCCAGCGTGACAACATCTTGTGCACCGACTGTGGCAGAGAGAAATGATGCTTCCATGAAGAGGTCACGCCTTTATCCAAATGACAAGTTTTCCTATTCTAATTCAGATACTGTTTTCTTGTTTGCACGCCTACTGCATAAATATTAAATGCTTATTTTAGTGGCATGAGCATTAGTTCTTTCACACTACCCACACACAATTAAACTGTGATGCTTTCATAACAATGTGTATCGTTAAAGTTAGGACACCATATGCTCCTTAAAATTTAAAAATCATGTTTTTCTCCTCACATTCTTTTAGTTCTGACAAAAATAAAAGGATGCTGCATATTAGAGCTGGCAGTGAATTTGATACTTGTGACAAGTTTTGGGCAACATGGGCATTATTCATTATCTTCTGACCTTTTATGAAGACTAATGGAGAAAATAGTTCTTTCCTTCTTTAAAAAAAAAAGGTCGTAAAGGTCTGCATATAAATACAGGTCCATGGGTGCATGATCTCCCCTCAGCCACCTATTAGATAATCATTGATTGCTGTAAAACAAACCTCTGCTGTGATTCTGTTGCCTCTTGACCTCATCACACCCAACACTGTAAATAAACAAGCTAGAAAGTGACCATATATGGTTTGGTCAGCAAATCACTTGCTCTTACTTGTCCATTATCAAGTGACAAAGACGCCACTTTGGTCCATGCATAAGCCAACACAAGTGACCAGAATTGTTGGCACCTCAAAATATCTTCTTCTCCATACTTATTGTTTTGATACTTGTAAAAGTTGATTTTCCTGGTGAGGCTGCTGGAGTTGTGTAAGTGTCCTCACATGGCAGGATGAGCGATATGAAATGCTGACACAGATTTCCTGTCAGGATATAGTCACGTGGTGAGGTGAAACTACTTTACACTTCATAAACTTGCGGAGGACTCACAGAGAAAGGGGATTCACAAACAGGTAGGGATGTCTTATTTTTCATATTGCACAGAGGAAGAGCTACAGCTTGGATTTGAAGAGTATGAAAGGTATTATTGCTATTAAAGAACTTCCCCTCTGCTTGTTGGTGAGCTATTATGTGAGTAACTCGTGACTGTACAACCAAAATCCCTGGACCTTTTCTGCAATGGCCTTTAAAGCATTCACACAAACCCAGGTCTATGAGAAGCAGGCAGCCCCAAAAGAAAAGGACAAATCCAGCATCCAGTGCCTTGAGTGCTATGACCAAAATGTGTACATGGGGAGCAAAGATGCAACAGTCCAGCACCTTATCCTGCCTAGAAACACAAATGGAGACTGGAGTCCTGTCCAGAACAAAACCAGAGAAGGTAGGGCAAGAAGACTTGGTTCACGTAACCCTGTAGCCCAACTAAGGGCAGTCCCACTTTTCAACCATCTGCTGGTCCTGTGGGACAGGAGCATTACCGCCCCATTGTTTGAGGTGTGCGACTCATCGCTTGCAGCCCAAACGAACTGTATAGAGATGGTGACTTCCTCCAGCCGCAAGAAGGTGATCCAGATTCATGTGGTGGGAGTGGACCGGTGGGAGGTTGTAAAGGAAGTCCCTGTCCTTCAAGATCCTGTGGCCTTGGCAGTAGATGGCACCAGTTTATGTGTAGCAACCTGGGACAGGTATCTCCTCTGTGATATTCAAAGTGGGAGCAGTGAGAAGCTTTTTCCTCACAATCACAACAGGCAGCATGTCATTGTTACTTCAGTGGGACAAGGGGAATTCCTCCTGAATGGGCCTGAATCTTTAGGTAAGAGCTGCTAAATAGTTTACAGTACTTGTCACTTTCCAATACAGCCATGCACTTAACCAGATCATATCACTCCCTCATACTGTATATCACTTCCCTATCTAGCCAGAGGATATTTGTATTTGGCAGGATATCATTTATCCATCCTTATCCCTCAGGCATGTTTGTGATGAAGACAGGGATATGCCAGCGCCCTCCCCTGCAGTGGCCTCAGGACGTGCTGGCAGCCAGAGTATGTTTCCCCTACATCCTAACCCTGCAGCCCCACGTTCTGTCTGTCTACAGCATGTTAGATCAGCAGCACAAACAGACTGTGAGTCTCAGTGGAGCAAAGGGACTCCTCTCCACATCAGGTAAACCAGGCAAGATCACTTCATCACCTGATGTTGGCAGATTGTAGAGCAACAGCCTGCCATATTGTGGTTTTGCTTTATGATGTCGCGATGTCTATCTCAGTTTCCACTAATTCAGTCAATCATCCTTGCACCTACTGTTCTTGCACACATCTCTCCCATCAGATGGTGTGTTAGTGTTCACAGAGAGAGACATTTTCAGCCTGCGTCTGGTGCCATTTGAAGACCAGATCCAGGCACTTGTAGAGCATGAGAGGGTCGAGGAGGCCTTGTTGCTGCTGAATGGAGTTCAAAACCATCATCCCCTTGACTCATACAAGGTGAAAGACTGCTGTTTTATTATATAAAATTATTTCACTGCTAACTTTAGCATGACAACATGCTCACAATGACAATGCTAACATATGTGCCAAATTTTGTTTTGGGAGAATAGTCAACCCTAAAAATCATAAAACTAAGCGTTTACAACTTTATTTACAGTAAGTAGCACTTTTTTCTTCAACTTTACTTTTTCTATAGTCACTGCTGTCTGCCTGTTTGCCCTGTAATTTCACCAGTTTATAGTGTAGGTTCCTACACGCCACTGATGAGTGGATAATACGCATGCATCCAAAATATTGCCTTTGGAAAGTTAAGTATAGTGACACAGTCTTTTGCCTCAAAATACATTCATGCCATGTGTGCCTAGTTTGAAAAGACCACTTTTACTGGCAGGAGCTGCAGAAGGCCACAACCTGTCGGGCTGGATTTGTCTGTTTTCAACGGGAGGCTTTTTCTGAGGCCAGGGAATTTTTCATGTGAGAGTAAAACCCCTTAACACAAAACTCAATACACTATACTAAAAACATGCTGAATCTTGGACTTAATAGTATGTGAATTTTTTCTTTTCTGAGAAATTGTTTACTGACATTTAACACAAATCAATACTTATCTTGAACAGTAAAGGTGAGCTGGACCCTAGGGAAATGATCCACCTTTACCCTGACATGCAGTCATGTCTCTGTGAGGACTTTCAATCCCAGTTTGATCAAGTAAACAAGAGCAGGGATCTGCAGGTGCTCTGGCAAGCGGATAGAAACACATTTCATCGTTACCTGGTCTTCCTGGGTGATTTCCTCAGAGCAGTCCGCAGTACAGGGCGAGGTTTGAAGCACAGTATGGAGGTTGACTGCGCCCTCCTGAGGCTGTACATAGAACTGGAAGACAACGAAAATCTGCAGCAGCTTGTGGCTTTTCCAGATGGGTGTACACTGAACCACTGTGTTCCTGTGCTGGAGGAACACAACAGGTGAGAATAAAGGATCATTTGTTACATCGATGACTTGCAATTGCACTTATGAATCAGGATGCTCTGCTTAGTGCACAAAGAATTGTCTCAAACAGGAGACGACATTTATTGTACTATTTACTGTTTTTTGTCTTTTTTATTTTCAGATTTTTTGCATTAGGTTCCCTCTATCAAACCCATGGAAAACACAATGATGCAATAAAGGTATCAATTCCCCAAAGTACATGTTTATACCAAGTACATGTAGAAATGTTGCATTTAATTAGCTTGTTTTATTCTTCCAGACTTGGGTGAAGATTGCAGATGGCTTCTACAAAGACCCCTCTTGCTCGGATGTATATGGCCACATAGTGTGGACTCTCAGTCAACTCAAAGACAGAGATACTATGTGGAAATTTGCAGACTGGACTTTGCAGAGAAACCAAAAGGTGCTTTTCTCTTTTTTTATGCTCTCAACTTGACTGCAGAGGGCAGAGTTGCACAGTACAAGTGCATATACAGTACTTATATGCATATAGGCACAATGTGCAAGATGCTGCCCGCTATATTAAAACATTTGCCCTGATAATAGGCTGATAATTGATTGTTAAATCACAAACAACAGTTGTCCTTTATTTGAAAAAGGTTGGTGTGGAGATTTTCATCAAGTGTCCGCCAGATGATAGAGTGGAGACACAGGACGTTCTTGCTTTCCTGGAGAAGTACCCACTGGCACTGCTTATGTATCTTGAGTTTTTAATTAATGATTTGAACAGTGAGGTGAGTACAGCAGCAATGATCTAATCTAATTAAATGCACTGAGACATAATAGGTGTAATTTGACTTAAGGAGGAGAGACATCACAGCCGGCTGGCCCTGACATATGTTACTCAGACGCTGCGAGGGGAAGAGGAAACAGAGTCAGATTTGAGGGCCACCAGAGGGAAGTTGCAGCAGCTGCTGTGGGAATCAAAATTTTATGACGTCTCCACCGTATATGGTGTGTGGAGGCATTATAAGAAAATAAATTATTACAGAATCAACAATAAATTACAGATAATTTTTTTATCTCGTTGCAGAGAGAGTCGGGTCAACAAACCTTCATATAGAGAAAGCCATTCTCCTCAGTAGGACTGGTAAACACTCACAGGCTCTGCAGATGCTTGTTCACCAGGAGCGAGACCTCCAGGCTGCAGAGGCTTACTGCAGCAGGGTCGCCCAGGGCCAGGACTCACAATCCAGGCAGGGCCTGCTGCTTATTCTGCTCCAGATCTACCTGAGCTCAGAGGATCTCGCCAGCGCTGCTGTGGATCTGCTTAACAACAACCCTCTGCTCTTTGCAGCAGAGAAGGTCATCCAGCTCCTGCCTGACTCCTGGTCTGTTCATCTGGTCTCCCACTTCTTAGTTGGATCCCTCAGGGAAACCTTCCACCATAGGCAGATGGCAAGGCTGCAGAAGGCTCTGGCCCAAGTGGAGCTCCTGCGGCACAAATTAAACTGGGTAAGTTTAATGATATATTTCACATTTTTTACTGCAATGAATATTGTGTGCATTCTTCTTTCATTTTTTTTTTATCAACCTTTAACTCTTTCTTGTGCAGGTGCCGGCCTCAAAAGCAAAGTTCAGACTGGACAAAGAGCAGAAGTGTAAGGTTTGTCAGAAAGACCTTGCAGAGCCACAGTTTGCCCGTAACCTTAACGGTGAGCTGATGCACACTAGCTGCATTGGCTTTTCAGCATAGTAAAAACACTGATAAGCCAATCTACTGTCTGTTTATGCAAAACATGTTTGTCTGCACTCTTGAGAATCACATAAATTTCCAGCTGGATAAGTGAATGTTTCCACCTGATAATTTATCTAGATTAGACTGTATTATCTAGGGAAACTAGGTTTCAGTTTATTCCTTGAACCAGACATGTTCCCTGATTAGAAAAAAGAAAATACATTGTGTAAATAACTGGTTTTAAGTGCAAAAGAACAAGCAGTGCACTTTTTCTGGGCGGCATGTCTGAGCGTTTCCTAGAAACACTGTAGTAATAGCTATAAAGTGAATTGCAGAGGACTCTCAGGGACATATATTCAGTGATCAGACAGTGGTGTTTTACATGGAAACCACTTGTGGTCATCCTGATGACCAGAGGAAATTTAACCATTTTCCACTGCTGCATATAGGCAGCATCCCCGACATCATGGTTTCCACTGACTGTGTATATTTGTCTGCATATAGTTGGAAATAAAAAGTCAGCACGCTGCACATGAGTGACCTTTTTATTCAGCTTGTGCATTAATTTATGAGAAAAACAATCCTACTTTCTGTTTTAAAAATGAAAAGTAAACAGGACAAGGAAGTGCAGAGTTTTGGGTCATTCCTCTAAATTTGATAGGGGACCCAATGGCACATCTTCATGAAATAATCAAAAGTAGTTTTACCAACATAACCCTTTGTCTATTTCTGTCAGCATTTAGTCATTAAGGCTAATTATAACTGCGAGTATTTCTTTATCCTGACATGTTTTGGGACAAACGTTAAAGAAAGAGGGGACAGAACAACGACTTGGCTAAACTGTTTTTGGCCTAGGGTGAGTGACTAATTGTAGTGTAGATAAATAGTAAACTATGAGCATGTTGGAAATGACTACTGTATCTCTTTGTGATGCCTTAGCCAAGATTAATTCTTTTTTCCCTCCTAATGAGGTTTTTGTGGTGGTTTCTCATTGCTCTCACCAAGAGTCTGAGGCAACTGTCTTCATTTGATGTTTTACAGTGTGGGTGTTATGAAGCCTACTGAAAAAGAATTAAAGCCTACAAGAATACATTTAACTGAAGCTTTAACTTTCTCACTCTCAGTGTATAGATGTACCCTCAGAATCACATAAACAAAGTGAATGACACGCCTAAAAACTTTCAGAAAACCATATTCTTCTTCTATGGGGTTGCAGAAATATAGCCATCAACCTCTCCTTGTAATTTTGATAAACTAGGCATTTATTTCTGTTTACTCATTACGTACTCCAAGCTGAGAAGTATCAGAGCAGAGAAAAACATCAAGCATTTGTTTTTACTTGTTTTGAGATGTGAAGTGACCTCTAACGGTTTTGATAGAGTGACAGCGAGGGATGCTGCTTTGTGATTGGCTCAGCTTTGGGCTGTGCCCGATGACCAGTGACCACTGGGTGGGCTTGAGATCATGTCCACTCCTTTGCCTCTTAGCGGACATCCTCAGAGACCTTAGTGTTGTTTTGAACCCTTGAGGTTTTGTTGCACCTCAAAAATGTTTTCTCATCTTTGATGCTGACCGACAGCCATAAGTAACCGAAGGGTAAAAATATGCTGAGACGAGTACAAATACTTGTTCTTATACCTAAATTAAGACTCCAGTAGGACTATTTGTGCATTTAACAAATATTTTAAATGTATCTCATCAGATGCATTATCTTACTGTATACAAGAAGTTGAAATGTGACTGTCATGCTCTTGTAGTATGGAGCTCACTGCATGAGTAGGCTGGGGCTCTGAGGTGCTGCAGGGTGCTGACCAGATGGTCATTTTACACATGAGAGCAATTGATTTGATGCAAAAATCAGCAGTTATAGAGGTAGGCAGACATTGAGCTCCCATTATAAATATCCATGTTGCCAGGGAAACAAAATTTTCTTCTTGTGAAACAGTTACACCGTGACACCGTTCAGGGACTAAGCGGTAGAAAATGAATGAATGAATGAATGAATTTATTTTCCACACATTTGCACAAACTCTAAAAAGCATCAAGTAAATGCTGCCTCAAGATCATCAAGTACCTCACATCAAACAGAGTCTATAGGGAAATGAACACACAATGCATCTCTGTGCATCATGTAATATATTTAGAGTCAAAACCACAAATTACTGCATCATATTCCTTATGATGCATTTTTCAGTCTCTTAGTGGTTCCCAAGAGACAAGGAGAATCTTAATTTGCAACCCTTTTGGAAGCAATAATGGTAAGGTAGCAGAAAACCTAAACGACTGAACTTTAATTCCCACTCTCCCCAGCAGTAATAATTCTGTAGATATAGCAGAACAAGCATGGGAATAAATAGCTGAAGAGGGTGATCAAAACATATCTTTTTTTAACTCCCAAGGCAACGCTCTCATTTTCATGGCTTCCTACCTTCGGGTTTGGCAGATTGCCACTGGGAGAAATTTGTAGGGTGTCCCACTGGAGACACAGAGGGCAGGGACAGTGACCACAGACACCCACCCTGCCCTGCTGCATGGAGGCAGGGCTATATACATCACACTGTATGGTAAGCTATGTTTACAGCTTTAATATTGTTCCCTGTTTGACTCTTGCAGTGCTCAGCTGTTTGTTTGACTTGATATTTTGAGGGACATGTCATGTATTTTAATTTTGTGCACTGGCCCTTCCAGAATAAATATCATTTTTGCAAAAATAGAAGTATTGGTCTTCTGATAATTAGTTTCCCTAAATAGTAAATTATATTATTTCAAATATGGATAAAGTGGTTAAGGAGAAGTGTTTGCTGGTGTAATAGTGTAGTCTGACTTCAGGGGAAGAAGAGAGGGCTTTTCCCCATATTTAAATTTTCATTCAGGACTCTCTTCTTACATTTATTATATAAAATAGGGTCAAAAGAGTGACTTCAAAAAGATGCTGTTTATATGTACCATAATATGTCTGTTTACAGTTTTACAGCTACAGTATTATAAAGCTGCTTCAAAGCTATGTCTGTCTATATCTGTCCTTAAGTATGAAACAAAGGGGTTTTGCTTTTTTAAAAAGTGAAACAGAAGTTGAGCCTGGCTCCCCACCCCATTAATTTCCATTCAGTCCCTTAGCTTCCATTTTTGAAATGAACTTGCCAAAAATCTCAGAAAAATCAAATATGCCTTCAGATATACATATATAGAAGCTTCCCTTCTCTCTCCAACCTGACATAAACCATAAATAGATGTTTTCCTAAGCAAATTAAGTGGCATTAATTTAATGATCTGTACTGTGCACAACTAATGACTCAATTTTGGATAAAAAATGTGAGTTCATTTTTGGAAAGTGTAACATTTTTGGCAGCTTTGTGTGTTTATGCGGCGCTTTTCCAAGAGTGAAGTATTCAGCTCAAGGTGTCTAGTTGTTGTTGTTGTTGTCCACCTTTGTTTTTTCTATCTGGACACTTGTGTCTCATATACAGGTTTAGCACCTGTGAATAGAAACAAACAGACCTGGTGAGTAGTCTAAAAGTTGGCAGTCTTAATGCTTCATTGTTTGTGTAAATAAACTTTATTATCTGTGTGGTGATTAGTTTTCAGGAGGACAACAACAAAGGAGTCCCACAAAAATGGCTTCATGGCTTTTATTACTACTGTACCCTGGGAAAATTGAGAATGTAGGATGAGGCATAATTAGACATTTAGCGCCAATCATCCCTACAGATGAACACACCCTATACCACAGCAAGGAGTTCAAAATGTCCCAGCACCGCCCTGGTATCAGCCACCAAAGTGTAAAACGACTTCCCTCAGGGGAGGCGACAGTGGTGCAGTGGGTAGAGCAGTTGTCTCCCAACCAAAAGGTTGACGGTTTGAATCTTGGTACCTCCAGTCAAAGTGTCCTTGGGCAAGGCACTGAATGGTTAGAGCCATTGGTTGAGGTCACACTGCAAATGGCTGCCATCGGTTCTGTACCGGAAACAAATACCTTGTGTGTAACATACTTGGCCAATAAAGGTGATTATCCTTATCCTATCAAGGACTGAACTTGAACCCACACAACGGGCCCAAGGGGGTAACACTGAAAGTCCTCATTCCTTCTTTACTGCTGCAGAAATGCACAAATCTTAATCTGTATTTTAGAACAAAAATAGTCCCGTGAACTATCATAAACTTATATATAGCAATCCACGCTCCAGTCAGAGCTCAAACAAATTAGAGGTATATTGTGTTTTAGCATAAAATTACAATTCTATTTCTACAGATCGAACATCTCTGGAAGCTTTGAATGACTCATATTTCAAGGCTTTCATTAAGTCATGAACCCTAACTACCATGGAGCGCAGAAGAATAGGACAATTCCCATAGGACGTGAAGCTACAAGGCATCTGTGCACTTTGTGGTTTCATCCACCAACACATGCCCATACTTGAGGGTATTTCAAAAGTACCTAAATATCACTTTACATAAAAACAAGAACAAAGAACGATTCCCAAAGAGTAACAGATGTTCTTTGACCAAAATGTACACAAGAAAAGTTCGTATTTGTTTTAAAATTAAATGAATATTAATTCATATTTTTTCTTCCATCCATCCATTTTCCTCCGCTTATCCAGAACCGGGTCGGGGGGGCAGCAGTCTAAGCAATATTTTTTCTTCATTTTTGCTAATTTTAGCTGTTAATTTGGTCCCACCTCTGGATTCTCATACTTTTCTATGCTTTGTGAAGTGTTAGAGAAGTTAAATTGGTGCATTACTCTTTCAAGCATTTTTAAGATAGGCAGCTTTACTTGAACATTTCTAGTTTATGTAGCTATGTAAATGTAATAAGCTTTAATCTACAACATTTATCTTACAATAACCACCAGTTACTTTTCAGTTCAAAACCATATGATGAGGTTATTTAAAAAAAACAATTGCTTTATTGAGACCGGGATTTATGGAAGTGATACGGTTTTATCATCCAATATAACCTTTTTACATTTCATAGTTTAAGTCGTTGTTTTTACACAGGTTTTGAATACGGGAATTTTTAATGTAGTATTTTTATAGTTTCTAGTCCAGCCTATCTTCTCCATGATGGATTACTTGCTGACTGATATGTGCAGTCAGCTTTCAGCACATACACAAACCCTGTGGGTCCAGATACAGCGTTAAATCAAAGAGCAGCCGTCAGTGTGGTGACAGCCCAGTGAATCACAGTGTTCTAAATAAAGCTCTTCAGCTTTTTCCAGCCTAAACACCAAAACCAACTCAGATCTCTATAACACAACATTGTGTATACTCAACATGTTGCTTAATGAAGCAACACAACCATGGCAACAGCCACTGTTATACTGCTCATATTGTTACACCAGAGTAAACATGTTGGGAAAGCCCATAAAAATGTGGGCTTTACAAAATACTTTTGAGTGCTGTTTTCCAATCCTGAGAGAAAAACTCTAAATGCAGTAAAATCTTTAAAATTTTCCTATCTGTGTATAATGAATTGTCAGTGAATGTTTAGGCACCAAATACGCCATTATAAATTGTTTCTGATATATAAAATTGCTTATTAAAGCAGCATGACTGTGTCTTTTTGTTTATTTTGCTTTTTATTCTCACACAGTGTACTAGACATGTTGAGCGTACAGTGAAATAGTGTTTGGATGGGGATACTGTATGTATTGTTAGCCACATTGTTTCTAAAATAAATTAAAAAATAGATATTTATTTTCATGCAAAACATGAATAAAAATAGTGTCCCACATTCCAGTGAAAAACTAAATAAACTGATTAATTATCTGCAATGGTTGTGCTTTGAAAAGCCAGAAAAATAGCTTCCAGGTGTCTATTTTAAAAATGTGTTTGACAAAGCTATGTGTGACTGCACATACCAGCCGGTTCTTCTTATCCCCAGGTGATTACTGACATTTACAGTTTATTGCTGTATTTCATCACAGAGCAGAAAGCTTAAGCCGTCTGGAGGAGCTCACCTCAGCTCTCCTCTTCTCTGCGCAGACTGGAGAAGTCTGATTTCCACAGGCTGAAGATTACACTGAGGGTTCATTTGGCAGCTGATGTCAAACTGGGACACACTGACAGACTTTAGAGACTGGGCAGCTTTTGACTCCTAAGAAAAGATCCCCTGGCTTATAATATCAGGTTTTGGCACATTTCCCACCTTTAATTTGTGGAGGGTGTTTCACAGTCATAAAACCTTAGAGAGATAATAGCAGGTAAAAGTATAGCTTACAGTGGCTGCATCTGTACAGGCCTGGAATATAATTAGCTTAATTTCAATGAAGAAAGCCACTTGTCTGCAAGGTATAGACGGGATCAAACTCTGCAGTCAAACAGAGGCGCTTCACACTGTGTATAAAGTGAAAGTGAAGCGTTTTGAAAAAAGAAAGAGTCCAAACATGAATCTGATCTCATATTAGATTTTAGATCTCCTTTTTTCAAATCTGCTTGGAGACCAGCAAATGTATGCAATTTAAACTGCTTAACAACAATGCTCTGTTGTTAAACCTTTGTCATCAGAAGTCCAGTATAATACCTGACATCAAACATCTAGCATCTGTACGCAAGTTTGGGTCAACTGAAAATTCTTACATGCTCTTGTTCAGCAAAATATATAAGCTGGCAACAATGTCCTTGGGATGACAGAGTCAATTTGTCTGTTATTTGATTAAATCCAGAGTGAAATATCAATATATTATCCTCAGTTCAATTTGTAATACTGTAACTTTTCATCTTTCGTGCCATTATCCTGTCAAAGTTTAATTCGTCCAATGAGGACATGGTGGGTTCAGTACTTGTCTGGGAGGGCTGAGACCTCGCGCCTGTAAAACAAATCTCATTCCTATTTGTGTTTATTAACATTCATAAATGCTAAATAAAGGATAATCACCTTTATTTGGCCAAGTATGTTACACACACGGAATTTGTTTCTGGTACTGTCACGCTCCTGCCCCTCTTGCTTCCTGTCATGCTTTTATTTTCTCATCACTTCCTGTTTTGGTTCACCTCAGTTTTGGCCCTTTTATTTAATCATCATTAGTTCACCTGCTCCTTATTGTTTGCACCTGTTTTTCACTTCTATTTAGGCAGCGTCCTCCCACCAGGACGCTGCCAGATTGTTCTAGACCCCAGCTCTGACTCTCCAGCACTTATCCCTTGCCTGACTCTCTGTTTTTGACCTAGGATTAGCGTTTCTTGACCACCGTGTTTTGTCTATGCCCTCTCAGATTCTGATTGCCTGCTGTGTACCGACCTTCTGCTTTTGTCCCCCTTGACCTCGAGTTTGGATCCCCTGGCTATACCTGTTAACCGGCGCCGACCCTGGACTGTCTTATTGACCTCAAGTTTGGATCCCCTGGCTATACCTGTTAACCGGCGCCGACCCCTGGACTGTCTTATAGACCTAAGTGATATCCTGGACTTTTTGTTAGTTTTGTTTACTAGTAGAAGACACGTAGACTGCAGGTACTGAGATTCAAACCTCCGACCCTCCGGTTGAG